GGTAGATTGCGTTTTCTTCCTCACGGATGTTGAGCCCGAGGTATTGCGTAACCGTAGAAGAGACCGTGAGCGTGAGGTCTTTCTGGAGCTCCCCTTCGAACCACGTGGCGATGTCGTCGGTTGACCCAATGTAGAGGAGATCGTCCACATAGACGATTAGTAGGACGTAATCGCCTCCTTTTGTGAGGCGATACATGCCCTGGTCATGCGGGAGTTGTTTGAAGCCGATGCGGATGAGGCGGGCGTGTAGGTACTGCTGCCACAGTCGCGATGCCTGCTTGATCCCATAGAGTGATTTGAGTAGTTGACACACTCGGTTGGGTTCGCCGTGGGAGCCGTGCGGGAGTGCGACGAAGATTTCTGCATCCACAGGTGCGTAGAGAAATGCGTTCGCAACGTCGATTTGTCGCAATTTCTTTTTCTTCATGGCGGCGACGGCGATGAGAATTCGGAGTGAGGTGTGGCGACTTACCGGAGCGAAGGTTTCGGTGTAATCTCTTCCGTGCTCCTGGTCGAAGCCACGTACGACCCAGCGGGCTTTGAATTTGTCGATGGTGCCATCAGCTTTCGTCTTCACACGGAAGACCCATTTCCCGGTAAGAATGTTTTTATTTTGAGTTACGCCGATGGGAACAATTTTCTAGGTGTTGCGCTCCTCCAGTGCCTTCAGCTCTTTGTCCATAGCTTCACGCCATTTCTCCCTGTGTTCCCCCCCCAGAGCCTGCTGAACCGTCGCAGGCTCCTTAGGAATGCCGGCGCCATGGACTGCGGTGACGAGACCAAGGATTTGCAGCCCAGTCTGTGAGTATCGAGGGAGTTCTGGATCCTCGGGATAAGCTGCTTCGTCTCCCGTTTCTGGGTCGGGCATGAAATTTGGCCCTACCCTTTCTGCTTCGTTGGTGTTGACTGTCACAGGTGTTACGTAACCATCGTCGGCGAAACGGTAGAAGATTTCGGCGTTGTTACTGTCGCGAGGATTATCCTCATCCATGGGCACGTCGACGGAGCAGTATGGGAGAGGTCCGGCTTCTTCCGAGGCGTTGTCGACGTTCTGTTCATCCCAGTCTGCTTCGTCCGCTGCTGACGCGAAGGCTCGGTCACCACGAAAACCACTGGTGAGGTCCCGATTCTCGTGCAAGTTGGCGAGGTACGTCTGAAGGGTGAGTCTTTCGTAGAAGATCACGTCACGTGCTGCTACTGTTTCCTTTGTGTGGACGTCGAAGATTCTCCATGCGTTGTAATTTTTCTCGATGCCGAGGTGTAGTCCCCACTGTGCCCGTTGCGAAAATCTTCCCGCTCGTGCTTCTGGGGGTCTGTACTGTACCATGCACCCGAAAACTCGTAACATTTTCGTGCTGCCCTGCTTCCCTGTCCACAGTAGATGCGGTGATGCGTTGTTCGGGAGTGACGACGACGACAACAAGTTGTGCAGCATGACAGCGTGGTCCATTGCTGCTGGCCACTGGTGGTTGGGTAGCCGCATGCCACGTAACAGTTTGCGCATGCTGTTTTGCAGGGTCCTGTTCAGTCGTTCTGCAACACCTTGCTGCTGATGTGCGTAGGGAAGGGAGAGGAGTTGCTTGATCACCCTTTCCGCCAAGAACTGCTTGAAGCGCTGAGAGGTGTACTCGCCACCTCCGTCTGACTGGAAACTTTTCAGTTGTGTTCCAGACTCTCTCTCTGCTATCGGTAGCCAGGCGGCGAATGCTGCGAGCGCCATGTCGCGGCTGGGTAGGTTGCGATGCCAGACGTATCGAGTGGCGGCGTCGATGAAGGTGATGGTGTAGTTGTAGTTGACTTGTCCTGGTTCGCGATTGTAGAGGATGTCGCTGTAGACCTTTTCGAGTGGTGCGTACGCTAGAGCGCTCGGGTTGTGATGTGAAGCAAACGGTCGATGAGGTAAGTCAGCTTCGGGACATATAAGGCAAGTCCCTCGTGCCTTCTGGAGTTCTCTGCCATCGGGTAGAAGTAGAGAGTCTTTGTCAAGGACTCCTGCTCTTATCGTGTTATTCAAAACCGTGTTGCTTGGATGTCCCGTGCGTGCGTGCCAGATCTCTTCAGAGGCGCGGTGTCCGGGTGAACGCTGATATGCGTCGGAGTTGGAGTAAAAGCTGGCGACGAGGTTGGCGCTTCGGTGGACTTCACGTTGAGTCGGATTCAGCTGTTGCGCGGGTGTTGGTGGTGCTTCGTCGACTGTGACTGGTGTCGTTGTTCCTGCTGCTGCTGATGTTGTTGCTGCTGCCGATGTTGTCGTCTCTGCTGATGTTGTCGCTGCTGCCGATGTTGTCGTCTCTGCTTCTTGTTGAATCGTTGCTAACGCTCTTGTTCGTTCTGCTTCAGGGATAGTGTGGGGGTACCAGAAACCTCCCGGGCTGAAGTCGGGGTCGAGATCCGGAGGGTGTGTCCAATCAGCAAAGTTCACAATGGCGTCGCTGTCTGCAGTGCCGAGGTCGGGAGCGAAGTCGAGGACGAAGACGTTGTTCTTCAGCACTGCTTTCCCGATGTAGAGACCGCCTCTCCCGTGGTAAAGCTTGAACTCCTGGGTCGTGCTGTCGGCTTCCAGATGAATTCCTTTCGCCATCAACTGGCTAACGCTCAGTAAGTTGTAGCCGAGTCCTTCAGCGATGAGTACCTTAGACATGTGCAGTATGACATTTGTTTCTCTTAACTGAAGCTGTACCACTCCTTGTCTTCGTGTGCGCAGGTTTTGGTTGTTGGCAACCGTGATGATCACTTCCCGTTGGAGTCGATGTTCGCGTTGTACGAAACGCCCGGACGAGCACATGTGTTGCCCGCAGCAACTGTCCAAGAACCAGGTGTCTTGGCCGGACGGTTCACTTTGAGCGATAGCGGCGTAAGTCGGATTTGGATGGAGTGATTCGCGACGAGGCGTCCTGTTGTCGAGCTCCTCTTCCGGTGAGTAATGGGGTGGTGACTCTGTTATGCAAGAGTCGTTTATCTTGACCATGCAGTTGACTATATGTCTTGCTCCTTGTGCAGGTTGTCCAGTTGAGGTCGTTGAAGCTTGAATCGTGGTTGTCGAGCTTGCTTGTGTCGAAGCAACTTGGGTGCTTGAAGGCCGCAGTTGTCGCTGTGGTGTTGTCTGTCGAGACGGGCAGTGCGTGCGTGGGTGTCCTGATGTCTTGCAGATGTGACAAAATGGAGGTACTAGCTTCGGCTGCTGCTGTCGATTGTTGTAGTTGTTGTGTCGTCGCTGAGTATGGAAAGCAAACTCCGGTGCTAATGTCCTTTTCTTGTGTCTTTCTTCTTGCAGGTCCATATCCTGCTGCTCGGCGTGAATTTCTGCGCAAAGTGCCGCTTCGGAGATCCTCCCGTGTGCTCGAAGAATTGCTTTGGTGGCGCGCCACTGAGGACTGAGGCCACGGATGACGACTGTTACGAAGGCGTCTTCAGAGATTGACCCTCCACATCGAAGAAGCTTGTCGCGCAATTCGCGACATCGGCTGATATACGCCAACCCTTTTTCTCCTGGTTTCATTTCAACTGTTGTCAGCTGCGCCATTAACCTGCTCTGGTTTACACTGTCTGTTGCCTGGTACAGGTTCTTCAGATGGCCGTACGCGAGTTCCGCCGAGTTGCCGAAGTTCCGGTAAGAGCGAATGTTCTGCTGCTGGGTTGGTGTGATGTTTCTCAGTAGAATAGTATACGCCATCATGGATTGATACGTATACTGCTGCTTTTCATACTGTGTCCCGTTTGCTGGATACTGCAGGGATCCGTCGAAGAAGCCGAGTATCTGCGCGCCCTCCATCATCAACTCGAATTCAAAGGACCAGGTAAAGAAGTCCTTTCCGTCGAAAGGTCTTGACGTCTGTAGTTTCAGAACATGCGCGAACTGCGACTGTACTTGTAAGGCATCCATTGGTTTGTCTTGCGCAGGTGGAGGTTGAGGCAGGAAGCTGATCGACCCGCGTTCGTACGGGGCGAAGGTGGGTTGCTGCTGTTGATTCCCTCGCGCGTATGACGACCCGTCAAGGCTCATGGGTGCCGCTCCGTTGTTGCTGTTGTGTGTCTGTGCAGATCCCGACTGCTGGTGTTGCTCGTAGAAGGACATGAAGGAGAAGAATTTCTCCATCATGTTCTGGTCGAAGTCAGAAGGATGGTTCGTAGGAGTCTCGGTTGAAGTTCCCCTTGGTCTTGCTGCCGTGCCTTCCTCTGTCTGCAGGCCAGAGGCTGGTGGTGGAGTAGGAATAGTGCCCGAGGAGTCATTAGGAGAGCTCCTTTCCTTGTTTGTTGCCATGTCTTGAAATGATTTTGAAAAGAGTTAGAGTTTTCCCCTGTCCGCTCTCATACCATGTTGGGCTGAAAAATAGCCCTTAGGATCTTTGCAGAGGAGAACTCTTGGGTAGAAACTTGTAATAGCGGAAGCGTTTTAATGAGGATTGTGAACCGACCTTGCACTGGTGTGTGAGAGCAAAGTAGATTAAATTAAACAAGCAAATACAAGGATTTATATAAGAGTACAGGGAATACGAATGGATAGATAGGTAACTGTATTGCTGTTGCGGTTCGATATAGTGCGACTCGGGCAACTGCTCTGTAACGAGTCAGTTGTGTGTCCTTAACTGTCGCGCTGTAATTGTCGAGTCAAAGGTCAGCGACCTTTGACTTTCTCGTAACCTCCAGGCGGTTACCCTAACCTCCGAGGTTGACTCGATGCTTCGATTGGGACTGCTTCGCTTGGTGCCTTGGATTTTGATACGACAGAAGCGCACTTAGGACTTATTGTTTCCAACATTATAATGATTAGCTACAAAGGGGGGGTCCTCACAAAACTTGCCACAATAAGAGTCCCCCTACCCATTCAAGAGTCCCGGGGGACCCTCTTACCGGCGGGTCCTATAGGTGGCACTTTACGGTAATCTCGAAACATCAGCTATGAATGCTCGTGATGCATAACCAGAATGAATACATTTGTACACACAGCTCGACGCTGTAAGCTGTACTAAAAAGGTCCCATTACGTCCGGCCTATATACTTCAGTCTTCAGCATTAATATACACTCCTCTAAGCAGCTCTTCTGCAAGCTCCGTTTCTGCCGATACCGAATCGGTGGGTTGTAGTGACGTCAGAGGAGCGAAGGCAGAAGGCACCTGTGGGAAATGGTAGGGACAGGCAGCAGAAAGAGAGGGAAAAAGGTTGAGAGAGCGAGCAGATCTTTTGTGAGCTCTGTCTCTGCCGATACCGAATTGGCGGGTTGTAGTGAAGGCATCGTAGTGGGTTGTAGTATCGTCAGAAGGCATCTGTAGGATGGTGGAGACAGGCAGAGGAAGGAGAGGTCATGGCGCCATGACCAATATTCCCTTTGGTGAGTTACCTGCTGGGGTTTTTGGTATGCTAACCGGATAAATGGAGTGGCGGTAGAGGAAGCAGTTAGCAGCTGCAGTCGCAATCGCCATGACGACTAATCCTGTTAGGAAGTTATCTGCAACCACCCGGAATCACCTGCTGGGGTGCCTGGTTTGCTTACCAGAGAGATGGAGTGGCGGGAGAGCAAGAAGACAGCAGCGGCAGTCGCTATCACCATGACGACTATTCCCACAACGATTCCGCTCCAGAAGCGGTAACCAGTCAGTCGAGGTGGGAGGGGACCTGCGGGTAAGAATGGGTGGGAAGACAATCACAAGCACAAGTCAATTAGTCAAAGCCAGAACAGCCAATCATGCTATTCCCGCTACGATTCCGCTCCAGAAGCGGTAACCAGTCAGTCGAAGGAGGGGACCTGCGAGTGGCAGAGCAGTTGCAAGGAAGGATCAGTTCGTTGCGTAACGACTTAGTATAGCTTGGATTGGGTAGAAATTGCTTCATACTGTAGCAAAGAGTTAGAATGACTCGAGCTCCAGAAGCGGTACTCACCGGTACTGACTGGTACTGACCCCTACTGACTGGTAATGAGTGATGCTGAGTGGTACTGACCGGTATAGGAGCGGAGTGTGGGGCTGAGAGGGTTGCGGAAGTCAACCCACACAAAGGCAAAGTCTGAAGGATGGCATGGTGTGATGTGGTGTGTTGTGGCGTGGCATGATGTGGTGCAGAGTGGTGTAGTGTGGTAGTATGGCATGACATGGAATGGAACAAAACAAATGAAAATCATTGGGTGAGAAGAAGGGCTTAGAAAAAAAAAGGGTGATGAGTGTATTATGTGCACTCATCCGCCTTGCTAGAAGGAGAAAGAACAAAAACAAAGAAAGCAGAATGAAAGAAGATGCAGTGTACTGTGCTGTGTGCACTCTCTGAAGTGCCTCAAAACGATTTTTTTTTTTTTTTTTTAAGTCTATTTCTGTGTCGTTCAAAAAATGCATCTTCCGCGGATGAAACTTCTATTTCTGGGTTGACTCAAAGAACACGGGAAGCACATCACCTGTATTAGTGTATGGAAACGTCTCCTTGCACATCTGAGCGGGTTCCTTCCTCACTCAATATTAGGCATCTCACTAACGCCTTCCCATGCAAAGCACACCTGTATCAGTGTATGGAACTCCTTGGACATCTGAGCGGGTTCCTTCACGAGACGACGATGCCCCTCCACCACTTTTGAGGCGCCTCAAAAGTCCTTCACGAGTCAAAGGTCTCTCTACCCGCAAGTTCCTTCACGAGACGATGCCCCTCCACCAGAAGCGACCCCTGTGCTGCTTCCTCCACCCCCGTTACTATGCATCCCAAGACTTCTTATCAAAGATAAACTACAATTGTAATACCTGTATCGGTGTACGGAAACGTCTCCTTCAACGAGCGGGTTCCTTCCTCACTCAATATTAGGCATCTCACTAACGCCTTCCCATGCAAAGCATACCTGTATCAGTGTAGGGAAACGTCTTCTTGGACATCTGAGCGGGTTCCTTCACGAGACTTTGGCATGGCCAGCAAGCCCCACTGTGATGCTTCCTTCATCCCTGTTATAAGCCACCTCAACATTACTTCCATAGGCAAATAACACTACACTAGCTGTATCAGTGTATGGAAACGTCTCCTTGAACATCTGAGCGGGTTCCTTCACCAGGCGATGCCCCTCCACCAGCAGCGACCCCTGTGCGGCTTTCTCCATCCCCCATATTATGCATCTCCAGACTGCTTATTATAACAAAACCAGCAACATATAATACCTGTATCGGTATAGGGAAACGTTTCTTTAAACATCTGAGCGGGTTCCTTCACGAGCCGATGCCCCTCCACCAGCAGCGACCCCTGAGCCGTGAAGTTGTAAGAGAGGAAGGCATGCCTCGCATAGCGCCTGTTGCTGTCATCCCTCCCCATCACTTGCAGCAGGAGAATGCCGTCCCTATGTATAAAAACAAGGAGAGGAGGGGAAGAAAAGGAAATGGAGTTGTAAGAGAGGAAGGCGTGGCGCGCATAGCGCCTGTTGCTGTCATCCCGCCCCATCACTTGCAGCAGGAGGATGGCGTCCCTGGGGATAGAAACAGAGAAACACGGAGAGGGAGGGAAGTGAAGAGGCGCGGCGTGCGTAGCGCCTGTTGCTGTCATCCCGCCCCATCACTTGCAGCAGGAGGAGGATGCCGTCCCTACAAACACCAAGAAAGGGGAGGGAAGCAAGCAGGTGAAGTTGTAAGAGAGGAAAGCGTGACGCGCATAGCGCCTGTTGCTGTCATCCCGCCCCATCACTTGCAGCAGGAGGAGGATGCCGCCCCTACAAACACCAAGAAAGGGGAGGGAAGCAAGCAGGTGAAGTTGTAAGAGAGGAAAGCGTGACGCGCATAGCGCCTGTTGCTGTCATCCCGCCCCATCACTTGCAGCAGGAGGAGGATGTCGTCGCTATGGGAAGCTGTACATCCCAAGGCCCAGCCTCCTATGGGAAGAACATTGGGAAAAAGGGAGAATGAATGTGTGGAAGGAGATTGGGGAGGTGAAGTTGTAAGAGAGGAAGGCGTGCGTACCGCCTGTTGCTGTCGTACCGCCCCGTCACTTGGAGAGTAGGAGGATGCCGTCCCTTCAGTTAACAGGAAAAAACGGGGGCGGGAACAGTGGGACAATATGCTTCCTCGTCACTCCCGCACTTCACCCCCCCAGATCCCTCCCCATTCACTTGTGCGTCTTGTGCTCGTTGCCAATGCTGATCTCGTACATCCCAAGGCCCAGCCTCCTGCACGAGAACACCTCAACCTCTCCTCTTCCCTGCTTCACACCGCACTCCACCCCACCTTACTCCTCCCCACTCACTTGTGTGTCTTGTGCTCGTTGCCAATGCTGATCTCGTACATCCCAAGGCCCAGGCTTCTGCACGAGAAAACACCTGCTCCCCGCACCACCGACCCATCTGCTGCTATTGTGGCTCCTATAAGGCTACAGCGGGCGAGGAGGGGGGAAAGAGGGAAGGAACGAAATGAAAGAGAGAGGGGGTTGGGGAAGGGAGGAGGTAGAAAAATGCTGATCTTGTACATCCCAACGGTCAACCTCCTGCATGAGAACAAACTAGCTCTCTGCACCACTGACCCATCCGCTGCTATTGTGGCTCCATTAAGGCTGGAGACGAGGGGAGGTGAAGGAAAGAGAGGAAAGAGAGAGTGGAGGAAGAGGGGAAGGGGGGGGGGCAGAGAGAAAGTGGGAGAAGGAGGGGGAGGAGGGAGTACAGGCTCGTACAGAGCCCCTCGTACTCACCCTTGCGCCCCATGGATTTCATTTTCCTTTCCAGCAGAAGCACATCAGCAGAAACCAGCCCCTCGGCTCTTGCACCCCCACGCACAACGTGGCGACCCACATACGCAGCGGGACCTTGTCGGTGACTTGGGTCCCTCCTCCTCCACTCTCCACCCTTTCCTCCCTCCTTCCCATCCCCTCTTTTCCACCCGACCCCTCCCACCCACCCACCCCCGCTCTCCGATTTCACCTCTCTGAGCCCAATACCCCTCCCACTTCTCAGAAGCACTATATATTGTCTCAAGACCAATACGTCCACACCCTTCTCCCCACTCATCGCACGGACAGTACAGAGTCCCGGAGACAGCACCGCCTCTTCCTGCTTGTCAAGCGTGACCGTGTGGCGGCCCTGACTCACGACTCCAAATCCTTAGTACGGCCGTGGTAACCGGTCACGCTAAACCTAAGGATTTGAAGTCGTGAGTCAGGACTGCCACACGGTCACACTTGACAAGCAGGGAGAGGCGGTGCAGCTGCCGGGAACATGTGGGGTCCGTGCGATGAGTGAAGAGAAGAGTGTGAGCATATTGACCTTGAGACAATATACAGTGCTGCTGGGAGGTGGAGGGGTATTGGGTTTTAGATAGGTGAAATGGAGAGCACGGGTGGGTGCGAGGGGTCAAGCTGGAGAGAGGGACTTTTGAGACGTAGAGGGAATGGAAAACCGGGAGGAAAGGGTGGGAAGGGGGGGAAGGGGGGGAAGGGGGGGGAAGGAGGGACCCAAGTCACCGATGAGGCCCCGCAGCATATGTGGGTCGCCTCGTTGTGCGTGGGGGTGCAGGAGCTGAGACGCTGGTTCCTGCTGATGTGCTTCTGATGGAAAAGAGAAGGAAATCAATGGGGCGCAAGGGTGAGTGGGAGGAGCTTAGTAGGAGCCTGTACTCGCCCCCCACCTCCCCAAACCTTTTTCTTCTACAGGCTCCTACAGAGCCCCTCCCGAAGGAGGGGAGGGAGGGAGGAGGGGAGGGAGGGAAACAAGGAGATTTAACAATGCTGATTTCGTACACCCAAAGCCCAGCCTCCTTCACGAGAAAACATCAGCTCCCTGCACCACTGACCCATCTGCTGGAATTCTGGCGCCGATCAGGCTGAGGGGAGAGAAGTGATTGTGAACATCCCTGTTTCTGCTCTGCTCAACTGAATGTACGGGGATAACGCCGCTCCCCGCGCCACTGACCTATCTGCTGCTACCGTGGCCCCTAAAAGCCTTTTGAGTCGACTCAAAAGTCAAGTCGTGACTTTTGAGTCGACTCAAAAAGTCACCTTGTTACAATTTCACACGGCACTTTTGAGTCGACTCAAAAGTCACCTCGTTACAATTTCACCCGACACTTTTGAGTCGACTCAAAAAGTCACCCCGCTCCCCGCACCACTGACCTATCTGCTGCTACCATGGCCCCTATAAGCCTGAAAGAAAGGGAGGGGAGTGTGAAAGACAAACCATCTCGAGGAGGGAAAAAACACGGGGAGAGAAGGGGGTGTAGAGGATGGCAAACACGTTCTCCTGACTCTCCACCCGCTGGCATACCAGGAGAGAAGAGATAGCAGCCGCACTTGATAGAGAGGGAGCAGCACTTGAGTAGCAGCAGGCTTGCTTACCCAGTGGCGGAGAAGGGGACGTAGAGGAAGGCGAACATGTGCTCCTGACTCTCCACCAGCTGTAATATGGCACTAGCAGCCCATGCTGGTAGAGAGAGAGAGCCACAGTAGGGTAGGCTGGTGATGAGGCCTTACCCAGTGGCGGAGAAGGGGACGTAGAGGAAGGCGAACATGTGCTCCTGACTCTCCACCAGCTCTGTCACATCGCCAAACGCGTCCTCCCTGGCTTGAATGCGCCACCCGCGGCCACTGGTGCGTGAAGGGGGGAAGAGGGGTACAGCAGATGAGGAAGGAGAGGCCAAGTAAGTAACCAAGCAAGCAGTGACATGTGCTCCTGACCCGATTCTCCACCAGCTCTGTCACATCCCCAAACGCGTCCTCCCTGGCTTGAATGCGCCACCCGCGGCCACTGGTGCGTGAAGGGGGGAAGAGGGGTACAGCAGATGAGGAAGGAGAGGCCAAGTAAGTAACCAAGCAAGCAGTGACATGTGCTCCTGACCCGATTCTCCACCAGCTCTGTCACATCCCCAAACGCGTCCTCCCGTGCTTGAATGCGCCACCCACGACCACTAGAGGGCGATAGTGAGAGAGGAGAAGGTAGTGTAAGATAAGAGGGAGCAAGCTGGAAGCAACGACAGGCCACTCAATTCACTGACTCTCCACCAGCTCTGTCACATCCCCAAACGCGTCCTCCTGTGCCTGAATCCGCCACCCACGTCCGCTGGGGGTTGAAGGCGGTAAGAGAGGCAAAGCAGGTGCGCGAGCGAGGAGGGGACATATAGGCAAGCAAGTAATGTCATGTGCTCCTGACTCTCCACCAGCTCTGTTACTCCCCACGAGCTTTGCCACATTGCCAAACACGTCCTCCCGTGCTTGAAAGCGCCACCCGCGGTCGCTGGGAGTTGAGGGCAGTAAGAGAGGCAAAGCAGGTGCGCGAGCGAGGAGGGGACATATAGGCAAGCAAGTAATGTCATGTGCTCCTGACTCTCCACCAGCTCTGTCACTCCTCACGAGCTTTGCCACATTGCCAAACACGTCCTCCCGTGCTTGAATGCGCCACCCGCGGTCGCTGGGAGTTGAGGGCAGTAAGAGGGGCAGAGCAGGTGAGCGAGGAGGGGACAAATAGGCAAGCAAGGAACGACATGTGCTCCTGACTCTCCACCAGCTCTGTCACATCCCCGAATGCATCCTCCCGTGCTTGAATGACTTTTGAGTCGACTCAAAAGCCACCAGCTCTGTCACATCCCCGAATGCATCCTCCCGTGCTTGAATGCGCCACCCGCGACCACGACCACTAGAGGGCGATAGTGAGAGAGGAGAAGGTAGTGTAAGATAAGAGGGAGCACGTCCTCCCGTGCTTGAATGCGCCACCCGCGACCACGACCACTGGTGGGTAGGGTGGGAGAAACAGGTAAGCATGTAATGACTGACATCACGCCCTTCTCGCTCCACCAGCAACCTCTCTTGCCTGAATGTGCCACCTGCGGCCACTGGTGTGTGATGGGAGAAGGGAGTTAGAAGAGAGCAAGCAGGTGAGCAAGGGGGGGTTAGATAGGAGGAGAGCAAGCAATGACAGGACACTCAATTCACTCTCCCTCAACTCATGCGCCACCCACTGCCACTACATTTATATACTTACCAAGGTGCTCATGACACCCAGCCCGTTTTCTCTAAATACGTACTTTCGTTTGACATAGGTGCTCATGATGTTCAGCTCATTGCTCCATCGACCCGGATCCGTGCTGCTCAGAATAGATACGGACAAAGAAAAGAAAAGAAAAAAACATATATAAAAAAAACACTTGAATAAAGAAATGGACAAAACAAAGCAGGCCCAGCAAAACAGGTCGCTTATACTAAGTTTTTTTTGTTCAAGTTCATAACATGTAAAAAAAAACGCCCGCTCACGAGGTGAGGAAGAGCATGCCGTCCTGTGACGGGTTGACACCTGGCAGCTCCAGACTGGCTCCCCGGCCGTCCCACCGCATAATGCGTGAGAGATCAGTGGGGAGGTTGGGCGAGTGGGATGCGTTTGTCGCCCACTTGGCCTCTGCTCCCTTCTCCAGCTGCGAAGGAGCATCCACGTACCCAGCGGTCCAGCCTGTAGAATGCAACAAGAGCGGGGTACATAGGGGTTGCGTTGGGTTGGGAGGTTGGGTTGGGGGAGTGGGACGCGTTGGTGGCCCATTTCGACCCTGCTCCCTTCTCCAGCTGCGAAGGAGCATCCACGTACCCAGCGGTCCAGCCTGTAGAATGCAACAAGAGCGGGGTACATAGGGGTTGGGTTGGGTTGGGAGGTTGGGTTGGGGGAGTGGGACGCGTTGGTGGCCCATTTCGACCCTGCTCCCTTCTCCAGCTGCGAAGGAGCATCCACGTACCGGCCCAGCCTGGGGGGGCAACCATACCACCACAGCACACAGACACACCTTGGTGGTAGGGAAACCATGCGATGGAGATGCCAATAGTGCCTTCCTCCTGCTCGCCCGCCTTCCCACCCCCCACATGCACGTACAACACAAGGACATGCGGTATGGAAACCACACACACAGACAGACGCACCTTGCTGATAAGGTAACCGTGCAATTGAGACATCATTCACACCCTCCTCCTGCTCGCCCGGCTCCCCACCCCCCACAGGCACATACAACACAAGCCCCTGTGGTATGGAAACCACACACACACACAGACGCACCTTGCTGGTAAGGTAACCATGCGATTGATACGTCAATGTTGCCCTCCTCCTGCTCTCCCGCCTTCCCATCCCAATAGCAACTGAGGTGTTGACTATGTATTGGAAATCACCTCTCCCCCCTTTCCTCTTTCCCACACACACACATACGTACCTTGGTGGTAAGGAAACCATGCGATTGAGACGTCAATCACACCCTCGTCCTGCTCGCCCGCCTTCCCAATAGCAACTGATACGTTGAGACAGGCGCACATGCAGAAAGAAAGACGCGCACAGCAGCAACAGGTTGATTTTTTAGACGTCTAAAACTTTACCCGATAGTAACCGAAAAGATGCAAAGCATAACTTTTTTTCTTTGTTGTTCTCGACATGCCCAGAGTCAAAATCAAAAGAGACCGAGACAGCACACGCACTCAGCAAGAGGTTGGAGTGTAGGGAGGATAGATGGAGCATGCGTGCATGCATGGATGCATGGATGCATGGATGCATGGAGCAATGAGGACACGCACTGTCGATGTTGGGATTGTCATGCCAAACTCCCCTGTGGTCATGCGGTGTGCATTGTGAGTTATGAGTCGACTCAAATGTAGTGCATGGATGCAGGGCACGTACTGTCAATGTTGGGATTGTCATTGCCAAACTCTCCAGTTGTCATGCTGTGTGTCAGTGATACAAAACAAGGAGAGAAAGGGGGAATGAATGGGGGAGGAGAGGAAGGGGGGGAGAGGGGAGGGACGGGATAAACATCCAATTATATGTTTCTCAGGCTCATGTTGTGTGCAGGGAAGGGACGGGGGAATCAGCAACATTTTGCTAATGTTGTGTGCAGGGAATCAGCAAATACAATGGAACAATGAAATGAAGGACGAGAGGATTTGCACGCAAACCCGTTGATTGGGGAAGAACAGCTAGTTCAACAGTGTTTTATGTGTAAATGTAACTATGCGAGTCTAAAAACTCGTACCTGTAACCGTAACCGTGTGAGTCGTATATGCATGACTGAGCAAGGGAACACGTGGGAGGGGGTAAGAAACGAGAGGAAATGGGTTTGGATTGAACGACAAGACACTGGATGGCATGGTATGGTGTGGTGTGGAATGGTATGGTATGCTATGCTATGCTATAGTATGACACGTCATGGTATAGCATGACGTGACATGAAATGACATGGGTATGACATGGATGGGATAGACGGGATGACATGTATGGAATGGATGGGATGGCATGGAGTAGGATGGGATGGGATGGGATGGGATGGGATGGCATGGGATGGGATGGGATGGGATGGGATGGGATGGGATGGGATGGGATGGGATGGGATGGGATGGGATGGGATGGGATGGGATGGGATGGGATGGGATGGGATGGGATGGCACGAAACGACAACACGCACCACAGTGCCATAGAAAAACGGCGCACCATCGTTCCACTGCTGCCCGTTTTGAGCCACCGAGCCGAGTACCACACCCTTATCCAGGCTCGGACGCCAAGCCTGACAAACAGGATCGGACAGGCCCAAGTCCCACACCATGCGCCAGGTTTGTCAATTCCCCCAACATTCCATGAAGTGAAATTGCAGCTGAAAACGAGAAACAAACCCTAACGCATCAAGGAGATGTATAATTTGAACAGGAATATTGAAGAATATCACCTGAAGAGCAAATTCCATCGGGTTATCCGACTGGTAACCATCCTTTCCCCCGGGGATGCCGAGATTCGTCTGCGAATACGGATGCCTGGGAGCGAGCCGCGGCGCGAAATCCCCTTGGTTCCACCGCGACAGGGAGAACGGAATGGGGCCCTGACCCTCGATATCTACGATGATGTTGTTCTTGTCGTCCCCGTTATACTCACGCACTAGCGACGCGTTCATAGAAACTTTCATACTAGTCACACTCGTTCCCCAGAACGGGAGCGGAACGTCTTCGGGACTTAAAGCCCGAGGCACGACGGCATGAATAGGCTCGTAGGGGTGAGAGTAGGCGCTAACCGGAAACGGTAAAACGCAGAAAAGGACTAGTAAGAGAGGAGCGAGGACTAGAGAACGTCGACGCCATCCAAGAGGCGATTGGCGAAAGAAAACCGCGCCCATGTCGTCGAGCTGGTTCGAAATGATTGTTTTCGGGAATGCTACCGCTAGCGCATGGAAAAAATACTTCGGCTTCACGCTCAGGCTGGAGTCTTGCATTTTCTAGGCTCTGTCTCTGGCATAGGAACCAGCGCCCCCTGAGCTGGGCGCTGCTATAACATGCTTCGTGATAGACATTATGTTACGGAATCCAAACAAGAAATAAGAGCTGAGCTTATGGTAAAGTCGCAAATGAATTTGACTAATGTTCATGGCGTAACATGCTCACCGTATTTGATGTGGGGAGGATCATCCCTAAGTAAACTGCTGTTATTTTGTAGCTGTTTGTGTATATTAGTTTCTGCAAAGAATTGTCTGAACGCATGTGTAGATAAACCGTCAAGAGCAGAGAAGACGAGCTCATACCATGTGGTACCACAGGAATGGTTATAGCGTTTAGCCACAGGTCGCACTTAGGGTAATTGCCATCGGAAGCATGAAACGCAACATGACCACCCAAGTATTTCCAAGCAAACCCACTCCAGTTCCACATACAGACTGCCCCCGTTTCGTGCTGCCCGCATCTGCCATCTGCTGAGTCTCTAAAATATTAGTCATCTCAAAACCCTTCAGGGTCATGAAACAAGAAGCCATGCCCTTCCCATGTGGTCCCACTCATGCCAACCTCCTCTGCATCTACACCCACAGCTGAATCTCCCCACCACCCCATGCCGTCCGCATCTGCAAGATAGATACATAAGGAGCAGCCACGGGGAACGCATCAGACAGTGAGGATACATGGGACAGTGGGAATAAGAAGACAATATTATCCACATCTACACCCACGGCTGAATCTCCCCACCATCCCATGCCGTCTGCATCTGTCATACAGATACATGAAGAGTAGCCAGGGGGAACGCATCAGACAGAGAAAACACATGGAGCAGTTGGGAAAAAAAAACCATCATTATCCATATCTTAACCACAGCTGAGTCTTCCCACGTCCCATGCCGTCCACATCTGCCACACACATGCATAAGGAGGAGCCAGGGGAAAGCATGAGACAGTGGGGGTCCATGAGGTAGAGGGATTAAACCACAACCCTTCCGATCTACACCCACATCTAGAGGGATATTTCAGAATGAATCATCCACCTTCAGACCTTCAGATAAATGAGTGGAATCTCAAGCAGGTTGAGATGTAGTACAGGCAAAGGGAACATGCTGTTATAACAATTCTGAAAGTAGCTGCAGTGAGAGACATATTTTTGGTCGACTCAAAAATTGCCACAAGAATTCTGAAAGTGGCAGCAATGAGAGCAGCAGCATACTCAAGTCGACTCAGATGAATCACTGGTAGGTAGGTATGCAGCTGTCACCCGTGCAGCATGCAAGAGGTTGCTGCAAACCAAACCAGACGCAACACACAGAAAACAGGGCAGAGAGTAACACTCACAGTGGTTGAAATGAGCTTGCCGCTTTGGAATTGAAGCAGAGCACACTCCATCACTGCTGCTCAACGCCCTCTGCCTCTTCTCCCCCCTGCCCTGCTGCTGCTGCCAGCCTGCAACACTATCCGCTCCCCACAACCCTACCCTTCCTACCCTTCCTACAGCCCCAGCTCTTTCACTCTCACTCAGAACGAGCACCCGGGACGAAGGCTGGGAAGGAGGCACGCTTCTATGGCTCCTAGCTTGGGGGAATTCCTCAAAACACTTGTCTCTAGACAAATTCCCGTCTCTTAGTAAAGTCCTGTCCCTAAGCGAGCTCGTGTCACTGGGAGAATATCTGTCACCAAGAGTTTTCCTTAAACTCGGCAAGATTCTGGCATTGGAGTTATTGCCCCTGGCACTGGGGAAACTCCTGGGACAGATTGCAATTGGGAAGGCTGGTAAATCATTGCTCGGATGAGCTGCACTGCTCCTGTCAGATCGAGGAGTGTCGGCTCGAAAGACTGTAGTTTGGAAAGCACTGCAAGCCCTTTGCTGCCCTGATCTTTCAGCTACGGAGGCTGGTGCGTCGCTGTGCGTCCGTTCTGTGCTGTCACGAGCTGCGCGGTCGCTCGTGTGATCTAATGGAGGGTGACTGCATCGAGATGGATGTGCTGAGGCGGTAACCCGTCGTTTTAGAACCTCCTGCTGCTGTTCCTTCGCCGGCTGTTCAGGTTGAGCCACGGAGTGCAGGAGAGAGAAGAGGGAAGGGTTGCTGTCTCGGAGAGATGGTGCATCCACTGATACCCGCGACCTGAAATAAAGAGGAATGGGTCAGTCAAGGTGGAAGCAGGGCGGCGATGCATAGGTGAGTGCCACAACTGCGTGTGATTGATTTCCCAAAACAGTGGTGCGTTTACTAATATCCTTGGGCTGGAAACTAACGGACGTCATTAGGGTTGCATGAAGCGGGAGCGATAGAAGCTTAAAAACAAAACAAAACAAAACAAAAAAACCTCAATGTACTGACGCCTATGACACATATTGCACTTAAAGTAGAGATCGAAGAAATGTCACCGTTTCTGAGAAAAGGCTCCATGCAGAGTGAGCTGCCCGGACATGCCACAGCTAACCAGCCAAGATGAAATAGTCGTTGAGATAAATCGTCCCTAATCTAGTATCAATCCGAACAACCTGAGCTTTTATCGCTGCTCGCTAGCCAACTCGTATGTTTCACGCGAAAACGAGAGAGCGAAGCGAGGCTTGCGGAAGAGCACGGGAGGTGAGAATATCCCCCCTAGACCAGATGCGCTCGGGGAGATGATTGAGGACTACGTGCTTTGAGAGGACAACCGAACTTCAAAATGTAAATCTTGAAGGTGACGCCAATTTCGTCTAAGAAGGGCTCGTTTTCCGTACTGGTGTTAGTACATGTGGAAAGTCTATGTTTGCAAAACGAAATGTGTCCGAACCTACCGGTGGCTCAAAGGGGAGGCTTGGCGGACAGACCGGGCCGAAGCCGGCAGCACTTTTGGAGTATTGGACCAATCAAGAAGCCCCACATCTCGTTTTCGTGGTGGGTGTCTTGCAGGTGTTGGCGGGAAGAACATCGCTTTGGGATTCGCAAGCAACATGTTCTGCACGTCTTTCGTCCAACACGCAATCGACCTTCGCCGAGGGTATGAACCAGCCGCTGAGGGGCTCTGGTAACCACCACTATGCGAAGAGGACTAGTGCTCAGGGCGGACTGGCAGGGCTCTGACCACAAGCTTCCTCCAGTCATCACCCTCGTGACCAGTCGCCATACAACTCACTCCGAGCAAATCCGGCAATTCATACATGACCGAACACCTTCAGAACATGACTCTGTAGGTTTCCATACAACGACATAGCTTCTCCAGTACAACAACATTATTCCGTGCTGATTCGGAACGTTGTTAGAGAGAAGAAACCCGGGTGTGCATATTGAATTCGAGCGGCCTATTCGTTTTACTCGCACGGCCTTCATTCCGATCGTCCTTCGAAATGCACCTTCCAACCCTATCGCCATCACCGCAGCCGGGCATTCTTCCGTTAGGGACGCATGCAACGACGTCTTTCGACGCAATTACTGCTCAGCCAGCTCGCAGTCCCAGAGCCTTCCGTGCAGCTTACTTAAACTCGCAATTCACCGTTCCTAGAACTAGTAGGACCATTAGTGGTAGCAATGCGGTGCCGACTCGGAGGTTAGCGACTCGGAGATTCGGTCTTAACAGCAGGGGGAAGTTGTCAGTCAGAGCAATCAACGGGTCGGATTCCGCCAGCGGATCCACCGGACCATCCAGCCCGTCCCCTTTGCACGAATCACCGTCTTCAGCACCCGTGGCGACAGCTGCCGTTTCCACCGATTCAACCGATCGTAACCGCCCGGAAAACGACAGCATTGACTCTGATTCGCAGCCCGAGTCTCCTGGTTCACAGGTTACAAACAAAAATGAGCAACCTGTTCAGTTGAACGGCAAGGGAGGAGTGATTCCGGGGTCCGCGGCGAGAGACGGTGAGGAAGACGCCGAATTGCGGCAACAGGAGGTCAATGAGCTAATAAAGAGGTATGCTACAGTGGAGCAGGTCCGACGCGAGTACGTGGCGCCTGACATATTCGATTACCTCGGCGAGCTGCGTGCTTTTATTGAATCTGATGGAGCGTCTAATAGCGGGTCAGCAGGAGCTTCAAGGGTCAAGGAGGTTCCTGGGTCGGGGAGGGATAATGATGGGCGGATGGTGGACGGTAACGGGTTACAGCTACCATTTCCGTTCCAGAATCCGTTTCAGTTACCGTTACCGTTACCCTTACCATCCACAGAGTCGCTGAACCTTCTAGAACAGATTCTCCCTATTCCGGATGTTCTGAAGCCTTTCCTCCCTGATCTAGGAAGCAGCAGAGAAGATAACAGCAGGAGCAGTGGCGGCCAGACCACCACCAGCAGCCAAAACAGAACAGGCAGCAGCAGCGGAACAGAAGCGGCGGCAGCTGCAGCAGCAGCAGTACCACGGTTCTTCTGTCCGTTAGACGCCAGGCCACCAACAGCAGAGCAGCAGCAGCAGACAGGAGAATCTCTCCCACGCCTGCTGTTTCTCCCTGGCGTGGATGGGATTGGGTGTGGCCTCAAGCTGCATCACAAGTCCCTGGGGCGCCTGTTCGAAATGACGTGCCTGCACATTCCGCTGTCTGACAGAACCGACTTCCAAGGTACATGCTTCAAGTCCATGGGTGTGCATGCATGTGTCATGTAGGTGTTTGGATGGGGTTGGCTACGGGCTCAAGCTGCATCACAAGTCCTTGGGGCGGCTGTTTGAAATGACCTGCCTGCACATACCATTATCCGATCGTACTGACTTCCAAGGTATGCTCCAAGTTTCATAGCGTGGACGCATGAATGCATCAGTGGGTGTTTGGATGGGGTGGGCTACGGACTCAAGCTGCATCACAGGTCCCTGGGGCGGCTGTTTGAAGTGGCGTGCCTGCACATACCGCTGTCTGACCAGACCAACTTCCAAGGTACGCTCTAAGTTCCGGAGCGTGCATGCATCTGTGGGTGTTTGGATGGGTTGGCTCTGGGCTGGTGCATGCACCACCTCTTTCCAATATTTCCCCCCTTCCCCCACCCCTTCGATCATTCCCAGACCACGAAGGCTGAGGTGCTGCAAGAGCACGAGCAGTCGCCTACAGTTGTTGCTTTCAACACCCATGCTCTGCGCACCTCTCTTCTCTTCTTACACTCCTCGCCCCTCCGCATTCATCCTTTCCCAGGCCTACTGTCACTCGTGGAGGCTGAGGTGCTGCAAGAGCACGAGCACGAGCAGTCGCCCACCCAGGAGGCATGCACGCGCCTCTTCCCCGTACCACCCTTCTCACCTCTCCCTCCTGCGCCATCCTTTCCCAGGCCTACTGTCACTCGTGGAGGCTGAGGTGCTGCAAGCGCACGAGCGCGAGCAGTCGCCCACCCAGGAGGCATGCACGCGCCTTTTCCCCGTACCACCCTTCTCACCTCTCCCTCCTGCGCCATCCTTTCCCAGGCCTACTGTCACTCGTGGAGGCTGAGGTGCTGCAAGAGCACGAGCACGAGCAGTCGCCCACCCAGGAGGCATGCACGCGCCTCTTCCCCGTACCACCCTTCTCACCTCTCCCTCCTGCGCCATCCTTTCCCAGGCCTATTGTCACTCGTGGAGGCTGAGGTGCTGCAAGAGCACGAGCACGGGCAGTCGCCCACCCAGGAGGCATGCACGCGCCTCTTCCCCGTACCACCCTTCTCACCTCTCCCTCCTGCGCCATCCTTTCCCAGGCCTACTGTCACTCGTGGAGGCTGAGGTGCTGCAAGAGCACGAGCAGTCGCCTAGCCGGCCTCTCTTTCTCGTGGGGGAGTCGTTTGGTGCTCTCCTGGCTGCAGCAGTGGCGGCACGAAACCCCTCCTTGCCCATCACCCTCGTCCTCATCAACTCTGGTGAGACCCGAAGGCCTGTCTCTGGTGTGATGGTAGGTACCACCAGGTACCACTAGATACCACCACTAGATACCACCACTAGATACCACCACTAGGTACCACCACTAGATACCACCACTAGATACCACCACTAGATACCACCACTAGGTATCACCACTAGGTGCCACTAGATACCACTAGGCCTGGTATGGTATGGTAGTTGGGTACTCCCAGCTCAATTTTGGGCTGACTCGTCTCTTTCTCGTGGGGGAGTCGTTAGCTGCTCTCCTGGCTGCAGCAGTGGCGTCACGAAACCCCTCCTTGCTCATCAGCCTCGTCCTCATCAACTCAGGTGGGTAAGAAGCATGAAACCCCTCCTTGCCCATCAGGTCATCGTCCTGTGCTGATGCAGGCTCTGTCCTGAGGTGCCTCTAAGGCATGCTCTCCTCGCCGCAGCAAGAAACCCCACGCAACTTGCCACGCAGCCTCGTTCTGACCAACTCAGGTGAGAAACGAAGGTCTTGTAGTGTGGCAGGCACTAGAGAGAGTCTGCTCTGGCTGCAACAGTGGGTGCATGAAACCCCTCCTTACCCATCAACCTCGTTCCTCGCTTGTTTCTTTTCTTGCCAACAACTCATTCCTGTGCTAACACGCATCCCTCTAAAGGCATGTTCCTCATGCCTCTGCTAAAGACTGTCTACTAGGAGGTCCATCCATCATGAGGCGTGTTCAAAGGAGTGTTCAGAATAACCTTTCTCACCTTCCCCCAGTGCCTTCCATGCTTCGTTTACTCATCCTCTTTCATCTTCTTCCCTTGCGTATTCCCCAGCCACCAGCTTCCCCCGCTCCTCCTTCCAGCCTCTCATTCCTCTGCTCAAGAGCGTCCCGTCAGAGGCCTACTCTGCTCTCCCCTTCCTCTTCAGCCTCGCCATAGGTACGTTCACAAGCCTCGCCATAGGTACGTTCACAAGCCTCGCCATAGGTACGTTCACAAGCCTCGCCATAGGTACGTTCACAAGCCTCGCCATAGGTACGTTCACAAGCCTCGCCATAGGTACGTTCACAAGCCTCGCCATAGGTACGTTCACAAGCCTCGCCATAGGTACGTTCACAAGCCTCGCCATAGGTACGTTCACAAGCCTCGCCATAGGTATGTTCACAAGCCTCTGGGCTTCCTTTCATCTGTTGAGTTGAAAAGTCTCAGAAAATACTCCCCTCTGTTCCTCGCTCAAACCCCACATTCCTCTGTTTTTCCGTTCCCCCTATTCCTCCCTTATTGCCTCTCAGTGAACTCAATCCGCATAGCATCTGGTGGTCTACCTCTTGACGCCTCTCCCTTGGACTGCTGGAGAAACTAAGGAACAATCTTCTTTCCTCCCCTCCCTCTCTCCCGCTCTCTCTCCCTCCCTTATTGCCTCTCAGTGAACTCAATCCGCATAGCATCTGGTGGTCTACCTCTTGACGCCTCTCCCTTGGACTGCTGGAGAAACTAAGGAACAATCTGCTTTCCTCCCCTCCCTCTCTCCCGCTCTCTCTTCCTCCCTTATTGCCTCTCAGTGAACTCAATCCGCATAGCATCTGGTGGTCTACCTCTTGACGCCTCTCCCTTGGACTGCTTGGAGAAACTAAGGAACAATCTTCTTTCCTCCCCTCCCTCTCTCCCGCTCTCTCTCCCTCCCTTATTGCCTCTCAGTGAACTCAATCCGCATAGCATCTGGTGGTCTACCTCTTGACGCCTCTCCCTTGGACTGCTTGGAGAAACTAAGGAACAATCTTCTTTCCTCCCCTCCCTCTCTCCCGCTCTCTCTCCCTCCCTTATTGCCTCTCAGTGAACCCAATCCGCATAGCATCTGGCGGTCTACCTCTTGATGCCTCTCTCTTGGATCGCGTGGAGAAGCTAAGAGACAATCTGCTCGGCCTTATTCCGTCCCTGCCTGTAAGCCACTCCCTCTGCTGCTGCTCCCTCTCCCCCTTGACCTCTCCTCTTGACACCTCTTCCCTTATGACTTCTCGTCCTTGGATCGCGTGGAGAAGCTAAGGGACAATCTGCTCAGCCTGCTGCCCTCCCTCCCTGTAAGCTGTTCCCTCTCTCAGCTGACATCTCTTCTATTGATACCTCTCCCCCCTTGACGCCTCTCCCTTGGATCGCTTGGAGAAGCTAAGGGACAATCTTGTTCAGCCTGCTGCCCTCTCTCTCTGCCTGTAAGCCACTCTTGTTTCCTGCTCCTCTCACCTTTCACCTCATCTCCCTTGACGCTTCACACCTGCTGGAAACAAGCTGTGCTCTGCATTCCTTCACATATTCTAAACCCAAAACCTGAAACCCTTCGGCCGGCCCTTCATATATTCACACACACTCCCCGTGCCTCCCATGCCCCCTGCACCTCTCATCCAGCTCCTCATAAAAACGCTCCCTCAAGCCGTGCTAGAGTGGAAGCTGCACCTGGTAGAGGCAGGCAGTGCGTTGTTCCCTTGGCCAATCCGTTACCCCCATGCCCCCCATGCTCCTTACAGCTCCCCACAGAATTGCTCTCTCAAGCCATGCTAGAGTGGAAGCTGCACCTGGTAGAGGCAGGCAGTGCGTTCTTTCCTTTAATCCTCCTTCTCAATCCATATGCCCCCTATTCAGGCTTGTACTGATGAAGGCTTGCAAAAGCCGAAACTAGTTTGCAATGTCCCTGATTCCTTAGTGAAGATTTGTTTTAAACTGGCTCTCTCAACAACGCTTTCAAGCTAAGCACACCAGGCTCCTTCCGCCATTTTCATGGAGTTTGTTTCGTTATCCTAAACAACACGAGTTGATGGAAGTAAGGCCTCCGCAGCCCACCTGTCCTCTCTTGACAAATCCTCCTTCTCAATCCATATGCCCCCTATGCACTCTCCACAGCTCCTCACAGAATTGCTCCCACAAGCCACGCTGGAGTGGAAGCTGCACCTGCTGGAGACTGGTTCTGCTTTCACAGAGCCTCTGCTCTCGTCCATTCGCGCACCGACACTCATTATTGCTGGGTATGTGTGTGGTTGTGAAGGTATATTCCTTCTTATGTAGCCCCTTTCCTCCCTGATTCACTCTGAAACGCCTGCTGCAAACAGGCTCTGCCTTCACGGAGCCTCTGCTCCCTTACACTCGCGCGCCGTGAAGTGAATGGGTTTCTCCCTTTCACTCGCGCGCCGTGAAGTGAATGGGTTGCTCCCTTTCACCCACTCATCATTGCCAGGTGAGTGGGTGCGTGTGTGCGCTTGTTTGTGCGTGCGTGCGTTTATTCGTGCCTGCGCGTCTGTGTGTATGTGAGGGGTCATTGTCATTCGTGCCACACGCAAATCACGTTGGAGATAGAGCTGCCTTGACAAGGGTTGTCAGCTGAAGGAGATTATGAGCAGAGCCAATTTCCTTATGAGGCGTCTCAAAATGCCTTGACAAGGGTTGTCGGTTTTAAGGAGATTATCAGCAGAGCCAGATTCCTTATGCCGCCGTCATGCCATCACTTATGTCCCATCTCTCCCTCTCTCATTTACTCCCCATCTCACTATCCCAGGAGCGCTGGCTAGCTGCTTCCCAGCAAGAACGAGGCTGGTCGGCTGCAGGGGATTCCGACCAGAGCCAGAATCCCCGCGGTCACTGCCTTGCCTTATTTTGAGTCGACTCAAAAGCACTGCCTTGCCTTATTTTGAGTCGACTCAAAAGCACTGCCTTGCCTTATCAATCACTCCCTTATTCCACTTCACTGCTCTCTCGTTCTCTCCCCAGGAGTGACAACCAGCTGCTTCCCAGCAAGGAGGAGGCTGGTCGGCTGCAGGGGATTCTGACCTGAGCCAAAGACACGGATAGTATCACAAGGCCGTTCCACGTTTCTCTCCATCCATCCCCTCTCTCTCTCTCTCGTTCTCTCCCCAGGAGTGACGACCAGCTTCTTCCCAGCAAGGAGGAAGCTGCTCGCTTGCAGGAGATTCTGACCAGAGCCAAAGCCCGGACGGTGGTGCGGGTGTTTGAGGGCTCAGGGCATGCGCTGCTGCTGGTGAGTGTTTGAGGGCTCAGGGCATGCGCTGCTGCTGGTGAGTGTTTGAGGGCTTAGGGCATGCGCTGCTGCTGGTGAGTGTTTGAGGGCTTAGGGCATGCGCTGCTGCTGGTGAGTGTTTGAGGGCTTAGGGCATGCGCTGCTGCTGGTGAGTGTTTGAGGGCTTAGGGCATGCGCTGCTGCTGGTGAGTGTTTGAGGGCTTAGGGCATGCGCTGCTGCTGGTGAGTGTTTGAGGGCTTAGGGCATGCGCTGCTGCTGGTGAGTGTTTGAGGGCTTAGGGCATGCGCTGCTGCTGGTGAGTGTTTGAGGGCTTAGGGCATGCGCTGCTGCTGGTGAGTGTTTGTCTGTGTGCTGTTGCTGGTATGCCTTGTTCTGTGGCGTTGCAAGCAAAATGTGATTTCAACCGGGGCCAAAGTGGAGACAGTTGTGCGGGTGTTTGAGGGCTCATTCATGCGCTGCTGCTTGTGAGTGCTGCTCTATGCGTTGCTGCTTGTGAGTGCTGCTCTATGCGTTGCTGCTGGTGAATTCTGCTCTGTGCGCTGCTGCTGCTGAATTCTGCTCTGTGCGCTGCTGCTGGTGAATTCTGCTCTGTGCGCTGCTGCTGGTGAATGCTGCTCTGTGCGTTACTGCTGGTGAATTCTGCTCTGTGCGTTGCTGCTGGTGAGTGCTGCTCTATGCGCTACTGCAGATATGCCTTGCTCTTTTCGCTGCTGCTGGTACACCTGTGCAGAACTGACAGGCGCAAAGCACATCATCTCCTTTCCACCTTTCCCCCCTCCACCACCACCACCACCACCACCACACTCATCAGGAGTCAGGGTTGGACGTTGGCTCACATCAAAGGGGCGCACATGTGCAATCAGAGGCGAGGAGACGACCGTGCTTTTGAGAATTCTCAAAAGTGATGTTGCCTCACGTCAAGGGGGGTGTTTTGATTGAGATGTCTCAAAACACGCCTCACGTCAAGGGGGGTGTTTTGATTGAGACGTCTCAAAACACGCCTCACGTCAAGGGGGGTGTTTTGATTGAGACGTCTCAAAACACGCCTCACGTCAAGGGGGGTGTTTTGATTGAGATGTCTCAAAACACGCCTCACGTCAAGGGGGGTGTTTTGATTGAGATGTCTCAAAACACGCCTCACGTCAAGGGGGGTGTTTTGATTGAGACGTCTCAAAACACGCCTCACGTCAAGGGGGGTGTTTTGATTGAGATGTCTCAAAACACGCCTCACGTCAAGGGGGGTGTTTTGATTGAGACGTCTCAAAACACGCCTCACGTCAAGGGGGGTGTTTTGTTTGAGACGTCTCAAAACACGACTCACATCAAAGGGGGGCGCACATGTACAATCAGAGGCGAGGAGACGACCGTGCTGCAACCACAACCAGCACAATGACTTATGCATCTCAAACCTTCCCATCTTAACACACTCACCCACCCACCAGGATTCAGGCTTGACCTCGCTTCAACCATCGAGAAAGCGCGCATGTACGTTCAGAGGCGAGGGGACGACCGACCCTGTTTGGTCTGAGGCCTATACCCCAACCCCCTTCTCCCCCATTTCTTACCAGGAGTCAGGCTTGGATATTGCTTCCACCATCAAGGGAGCGCACATGTACGTTCAGAGGCGAGGGGTTGACCGACCCTGTTTGGTGGCTTGCAGGCTTGTAGCAGTCAACCCCAGCCTCTTACATCCCCCACTTGTACATGTTTCCTCACCACTCCCCCCCATGCACACACCCACCCACCAGGAATCAGGCCCAGACCTTGCCTTCACCATCGAGGGGGCGCACATGTACATGGGGGTCCGAGGGGAGGCCCTGTACGTTCAGAGGCGAGGCCCGAGGGAACGACCCTGTTTGCTTTTTGGCTATTTACCAGGCCTACCTACCTACCACCATCTGCACCCTAACCCCTACCCTCCACCAGGAATCAGGATTGGACCTCGCTTCAACCATCAAGGGCGCCCATATGTAGATTCAGAGGCGAGGGGACGACCCTGTGGTGGCGGGCTGGCTTGTAGTTATCAACTCTACCAGAATGAACATTACGCCCTCCCCACCCCTCAATAGGAATCAGGATTGGACCTCGCTTCAACCATCAAGGGGGCCCATATGTACATTCAGAGGCGAGGGGACGACCCTGTGGTTGCAGGCAGGCTTGTAGCGAGCGATCAACCCTTGAATCTGACATCCCCTCTTCTTTCCTCTGCACTCGCTTCTCTAACACCCACCAGGAGTCCGGTTTTGACCTCGCGTCAACCATCAAGGGGGCTCACATGTACATTCAGAGGCGAGGGGACGACCCTGTGGTGTCAGGTTTCCAGCCTCCCACTGTTCAGGAGCTAGCTCGGGCCAAATCAGGGCTCGACGGGTGCGTTGAGAGGATTTGAGTACAGCAACGAGGTATATTCTCTGTTTTCTAGTGAGAGCCTGTGAGTTGAGAGGCGAGGGGATGACCCTGTGGTGGCGGGATCTCATCCTCCCACTGTTCAGGAGCTAGCGCAGGCCAAATCATGGCTGAACGGGTGGGTGTTGAGGGGTAGATAGTGGTAACAAGGTGTTCTAAAGTCAAAAGGCAAGAAGGAGAGGGTTCTGAACTGAACTGTAAGAGTTGAGAGGCGAGGGGACGACCCTGTGGTGGCAGCATTTGAGCCTCCCACAGGGCTGAACGGGTGGGTGGGTGGAAGGGTGGGAGCAGGAGGGTTTAAAGCCTCCTGCTTAAAGGTTTTCGCTCCAAACCCTTTCGCGCAATTCGTGGATGCAGTTTCCTCGCCCCGCTGCTTCTGAGCTGACTTTTGAGTCGACTCAAAAGTCTCCTCGCCCCGCTGCTTCTGCTGCCTTGTGTCCCTCTCTGCAGTTGTTGTGGCTAGTTATGTTTGCATTGAGGTGACTTTTGAGTCGACTCAAAAGTCTGCTGCCTTGTGTCCCTCTCTGCAGTTGTTGTGGCAAATCATGTTTGTATTGAGGTGACTTTTGAGTCGACTCAAAAGTCTGCTGCCTTGTGTCCCTCTCTGCAGTTGTTGTGGCTAGTTATGTTTGCATTGAGGTGACTTTTGAGTCGACTCAAAAGTCTGCTGCCTTGTGTCCCTCTCTGCAGTTGTTGTGGCAAATCATGTTTGTATTGATGTGACTTTTGAGTCGACTCAAAAGTCTGCTGCCTTGTGTCCCTCTCTGCAGTTGTTGTGGCTAGTTATGTTTGCATTGAGGTGACTTTTGAGTCGACTCAAAAGTCTGCTGCCTTGTGTCCCTCTCTGCAGTTGTTGTGGCAAATCATGTTTGTATTGAGGTGATTTTTGAGTCGACTCAAAAGTCTGCTGCCTTGTGTCCCTCTCTGCAGTTGTTGTGGCAAATCATGTTTGTATTGAGGTGACTTTTGAGTCGACTCAAAAGTCTGCTGCCTTGTGTCCCTCTCTGCAGTTGTTGTGGCAAATCATGTTTGTATTGAAACTGATTATTCATTTCACGAGCACCCTCCTCCTGTGCTCCTACTCCAATATGATTTTGAGACGTCTCAAAACTACACTTTTATCTTGTGGCGAATTATGTTTGTATTGAAATTAATTATTCATTTCAAGAGCACCCTCCTCCTGTGCTCCTACTCCAATATGATTTTTTTTGCTTCACTACACTCCTGAATGCAGGTTTCTTCGCCGCTTCTGCAGCCCCGTTTTTCTCTCAACAGTTCTTGAGGAATCTCCTAGCAATGCGATTGCTGCTAGCGAATCTTCCAGTAATGGAGGTCGTCATAATGGGACTGCTAATAAAGAGGCTAGTAACGGGGCTGCTAGTAACGGGGCTGCTAGTAACGGGGCTGCTAATAACGGGGCTGTTAGTAATGGGGCTGCTATTAACAGGGCTTCTGGTAATGGAGCCGCTGTTTCGGACTCGCAAAATGGAAATGCAAGCAGTAGAAGTAGCAGCAGCAGCAGCAGTATATCAACAGAGCAGCACCAAAAGCAGCAGAAGCAGCAGCAAGAGCAGCAGCAGCGGCAGCAGAAGCAGCAGCAAGAGCAGCAGCAGCGGCAGCGGGTGGTGGTGGGCTTAGAGGGATTGCCAGCCTGCGAGCGGCCGCTGCTGTTTGTGGGCAATCACCAGACTCTGGCGCCGGAGATGAGCGTTTTGGTATCAGAGCTCATGGCGCACGGCGTGGTGGTTAGAGGCCTCGCGCACCCCCTTGCCATCGAAATGGTGAGTACATCACTTCACCAGCTGGCTCACTGTTGTTTGTGGGCACCCACCAGACTAGGAGTACTAGACCAGCCAACCACCAGACACTGAGGAATAGTAGCAGTGAGAGAGTGTACATACCTTGCGACCACCAGACGCTGGGGAATAGTAGCAGTGAGTGAGTGTACATACCTTGCGACCACCAGACGCTGGCGCCGGAGATGAGCGTATTGGTATCAGAGCTCATGGCGCACGGCGTGGTGGTTAGAGGCCTCGCGCACCCCCTTGCCGTCGAAATGGTGAGTACATCACTTCAAAACCAGCTGGCTCACTGCTGTTTGTGGGCACCCACCAGACTAGGAGTACTAGACCAGCCAACCACCAGACACTGAGGAATAGTAGCAGTGAGAGAGTGTACATACCTTGCGACCACCAGACGCTGGGGAATAGTAGCAGTGAGAGAGTGTACATACCTTGCGACCACCAGATGCTGGGGAATAGTAGCAGTGAGTGAGTGTACATACCTTGCGACCACCAGACGCTGGGGAATAGTAGCAGTGAGTGAGTGTACATACCTTGCGACCACCAGACACTGGGGAATAGTAGCAGTGAGTGAGTGTACATACCTTGCGACCACCAGACGCTGGGGAATAGTAGCAGTGAGAGAGTGTACATACCTTGCGACCACCAGACACTGGGGAATAGTAGCAGTGAGTGAGTGTACATACCTTGCGACCACCAGACCCTGGCGCCGGAGATGAGTGTGTTGGTATCAGAGCTCATTGCGCACGGCGTGGTGGTCAGATGGCTGGCACACCCCCTAGCCATCGAAATGGTGAGTACATCACCCCCTAGCCATCGAAATGGTGAGTACATCACCCCCTAGCCATCGAAATGGTGAGTACATCACCCCCTAGCCATCGAAATGGTGAGTACATCACCCCCTAGCCATCGAAATGGTGAGTACATCACCCCCTAGCCATCGAAATGGTGAGTACATCACCCCCTAGCCATCGAAATGGTGAGTACATCACCCCCTAGCCATCGAAATGGTGAGTACATCACCCCCTAGCCATCGAAATGGTGAGTACATCACCCCCTAGCCATCGAAATGGTGAGTACATCACCCCCTAGCCATCGAAATGGTGAGTACATCACCCCCTAGCCATCGAAATGGTGAGTACATCACCCCCTAGCCATCGAAATGGTGAGTACATCACCCCCTAGCCATCGAAATGGTGAGTACATCACCCCCTAGCCATCGAAATGGTGAGTACATCACCCCCTAGCCATCGAAATGGTGAGTACATCACCCCCTAGCCATCGAAATGGTGAGTACATCACCCCCTAGCCATCGAAATGGTGAGTACATCACCCCCTAGCCATCGAAATGGTGAGTACATCACCCCCTAGCCATCGAAATGGTGAGTACATCACCCCCTAGCCATCGAAATGGTGAGTACATCACCCCCTAGCCATCGAAATGGTGAGTACATCACCCCCTAGCCATCGAAATGGTGAGTACATCACCCCCTAGCCATCGAAATGGTGAGTACATCACCCCCTAGCCATCGAAATGGTGAGTACATCACCCCCTAGCCATCGAAATGGTGAGTACATCACCCCCTAGCCATCGAAATGGTGAGTACATCACCCCCTAGCCATCGAAATGGTGAGTACATCACCCCCTAGCCATCGAAATGGTGAGTACATCACCCCCTAGCCATCGAAATGGTGAGTACATCACCCCCTAGCCATCGAAATGGTGAGTGCATCACTTCAAAACCCCCTAGCCATCACTTCATCACTGCTGTTTGTGGGCTGGCACACCCCCTAGCCATCGAAATGGTGAGTGCACATGCAGAATTCGCAGGCCAAACCAACCAACCACCACCAGACACTGGGGAAGTGGCATAGGGGGAATAGTAGCAGTGAGTGAGTGTACTTTCCTTGCATGCAACCACCAGACCAGACTCTGCCGTCGGAGATGAGCGTTTCGGTATAAGAGCTCATGGCGCACAGCTTGGTGGTGAGGGGGCTGGTCTGGTGCACCCTCTAGCTATGGAGATGGTGAGTGCATAGGGATAGATAAACCACCCACCAGACTTGGCGTCGGAGATTGGCGTTTTGGTATCAGAGCTCATGGCGCATGGCGTGGTGGTTAGAATAGAGGCCTGACGCACCCTCTAGCCATCAAAATGGTGAGTGCACACGCAAACCTGGTGGGATGTACTCAACAAAACATCCAAAATCTGTCCCCTTATACCCCATTCCCGCAGTTCCACGATATCAACCTGCTGGTGGAGCAGGGCGAGCAGTACAAGGTGTTTGGGGCTGTCCCTGTGACCCCTTGACTGTGAAGAACCCAATGCCCTAACCCCTTATGCTCTATACCCGAACCCCTTATACCCTACACCCTAACCCCTTATACCTTCAGTTCCCCGATATCAACCTGCTGGTGGAGCAGGGCGAGCAGTACAAGGTGTTTGGGGCTGTCCCTGTGACCCCTTGACTGTGAAGAACCCAATGCCCTAACCCCTTATGCTCTATACCCGAACCCCTTATACCCTACACCCTAACCCCTTATACCTTCAGTTCCACGATATCAACCTGCTGGTGGAGCAGGGCGAGCAGTACAAGGTGTTCGTAGCCGTCCCTGTGACCCCCGCCAACACCTACAAAGTTCTCGCCAACAAGGAAGGAAGCTGCTGCTGCAACCTGAACAAACGCTTTAACCCCAAACCCAACACCCAATGCCCTGTAACCACAGTTCCACGATATCAACCTGCTGGTGGAGCAGGGCGAGCAGAACAAGGTGTTCGGAGCCGTGCCTGTCACCCCTTAAGACATTGTCCATGCACATGCCCCATATGCCCCACAAACCCGAAACCCTGATCCCGCAGTTCCACGATATCAACATGCTGGTGGAGCAGGGCGAGCAGTACAAGGTGTTCGGAGCGGTGCCTGTCACCCCCGCCAACACGTACAAGGTTCTCGCCAACAAGGAAGCTGCGCTGCTGTTTCCTGGAGGCGTTCGGGAGGCTCTGAAGAAGAGGGTGAGCGATTGTTGAGTGGGGTGCGGTGTGGTGCGGTGGGGTGCAGTGGGGTGAGCAGGTGATTGTGGGCGTCTGGAAGGTGCCTGTGGGTTGATTGAACTCGTGTTGTGGTGCTTTTGTGTTGATAAGGGGAGTTGGGGAAGGGAGTGTGCAGGAATGGTATTACGTCGTGTGTGGGCGGGTGGGATGGGTGGGGGTGGGTGGGGGTGGGTGGGGGTGGGTGGGGTTTGGTGAAGGCATTTGGGTTATGGAAAACTGACGCTCATTTGCTTAGTCTCATTGCCAAAAGAAAATTCTTTTCGTTGACTAGAAAAAAATCATTTCTGGCAAAGGCTACCACTTTCTATCGCTGACTTGTATATGGCTTCTGGCAATAGATATCACTTTCTAACTTTTTTTTGGTTTCTGCTGTGTCGCCCGCAGGGAGAGGACTATCAACTGTTTTGGCCTGAGCGAGCAGAGTTTGTTCGCATGGCGGTGAGTTGCGCTTCATTACTGAGTGATTCGTTATAGAGTAACTCACGACTGATTCTACGTGGCAAGATATCAAAACATGTTGGTTCTACAACGCGTGGTAATTGTTCCATGGTTGGTCGATTGGGATGAAAGGCGTGATTCTGGTCGTTACAATTTCTCTCTCTCTCACACATCTTGTACTCTAAGGCGTCTCCAAACTTCTATAGCTACATAAAGTGCCATAAACATGTCTGGTCTTTTCAACACATCTCCGAGGGGCTCTGTGTGTGTATTTGCTTCATCTACAGTGTTGTTTTATTAGTTCTTCATGTTTTGCTGCTTCCTGTTTCATGTGGTGTTTTTGTGAAGTACAGGCAAAGCACGAAGCAACAATCATCCCCTTCGCATGCATTGGTGTGGACGATGGGTTCGATGTGAGTGGGAGGGAGGGAGGGAGGGGGTGTGTGTGACTGACTGTAGGGGGTGTGATAGACGTAATAAGGGCAAAGCATGAAGCAACAATCATCCTGTTTCCATGCATTGGCGTGGACGAAGGGTTTAATGTAAGTGGGGTGGGAGTAGTACCCACAACTGTTAGGCCTGTAAAAGTATAGTCATTATGACAGCCTGATCCAGCTGTAAAGGCCATTTTGTTCCATATTCATCTCCCCCTTTCGAATACTTGCAGATTCTAGTAGATGCGGACGAAATGCCCAGTGTGCCCGTCATTGGTCCCATGGCAGTGGAGGGCGTGCAGGCATGGCCCAGAGTCAGGTAGGGTTCAGTGGAGTGCAGTGCGGTGCTGTGCGGTATTGCCCCAGTGGTTAAGGTGCAGAGCGGTAACACCCGATTCTTATTCTCGTAGATGCGGATGAAGTGTCCGACGTGCCCATCATCGGCCCCATGGCAGTGGAGGGCGTGCAGGCATGGCCTAGAGTGAGGTAGGTTTGAGCCGGGTTCAGTGCGGTGTAGTGCGATTAACAGCAGTGAAGTGCAGTGGTGGGGGGCATTGCGATGACGTGCCCAGCGTGACCATCATCGGCCCCATGGCAGTGGAGGGCGTGCAATCATGGCCGAGAGTCAGGTATGGATAATGGTGCAGTGCGGTGAAGGTGCAGTGCACTGTGGTTCAGGGGGGTGGTTGGTTGTGCAGAGCAGGAAAGCCTGACAGTGAAGGTCTAGTGTGGTGCAGTGCGGTCAAATACCTAACGCTCCCGTCATTTCCCCTTGGCAGTAGAGGGCGTGCAGGCATGACCTTCTGGGGCAGTAGATGCAGTGTGGTGCATAGATGTTCAGAGGGGTGGAGCAGACATGATGGCCCATATTTCACTCAATGGGGTCCTTGCTTCTTTCCACACCACTGATTGAACTCCACTTTCTGTTCCGTTGTAAAATCCTACCTGAAATTTGCAGGGATGCAGCAGCAGCAGGGGCAGCAGCAGAGCAGTTCATCCCACCAGTCGTGGTCCCCAAAGGCCTCAACCGCCTCTACTTCCTCTTCGGGGCACCCATCAGAACAAAGGGTGAGCGCTGGTAGCGGCGGTGAAACAGGTGCAGTGGTAGTGGCCGTGGTGGCCCAAGAGGCAGTGATAGTGGTGATAACTTGAGGGACGGCAGCAGAGCAGTTCATCCCATCAGTCGTGGTCCCCAAAGGCCTCAACCGCCTCTACTTCCTCTTCGGAGCGCCCATCAGAACAAAAGGTGAGAGCTGGTAGCGGCGGTGAAACAGGTGCAGTGGTAGTGGTGGTGGTGGTGACTTGAGGGGCGGCAGCAGAGCAGTTCATCCCGCCAGTCGTGGCGCCCAAGGGGCTCAACCGCCTCTACTTCCTATTCGGGGCGCTCATCAGAACAAAGGGTGAGAACGGAGGTGTAAGATTGTCTGCAGGGTATGCGTTACAGGCAAACACTCAAGCACTCTTCTCCCTCCTCTCCCTCCTTCTTCCCCTCCCCACTCATCCACCCTTTCCCCTCCTCCCCAGGCATGTCGCACCTACTGACAGACAAGGCAGCAGCAGCAGAGCTGTATGCACATGTGAAGGGGGAGGTGTAAGACGGGCTGCAGTACCTGCTGAGGAAGAGGGAGGAGGATCCTTACAACCCAACACTCTTTCCCCTCCTTACCTACCAAACCCCACATCCCCACCCATCCACACAAATCTACACCCATCCACACCATCCCGAACCCCTTTCCAACCAGGCATGAAGCACCTGCTAACAGACAAGGCAGCAGCAGCAGAGCTGTATGCACATGTGAAGGGTGAGGTGTAGGGTGGGCTGCAGTATCTTCTGAAAAAGAGGGAGGAGGACCCATGAAAGGAAAAGCTCTTCTGACTCCCTTCCCTACCAACCCCCCATCCCCACCCATCCTCACCCCCCTGATTTCCTTTCCAACCAGGCATGAAGCACCTGCTAACAGACAAGGCAGCAGCAGCAGAGCTGTATGCACATGTGAAGGGGGAGGTGGAGGGTGGGCTGCAGTATCTTCTGAAAAAGAGGGAGGAGGATCCATACAATGACCCTGTGCCGCGGTTGCTTTATGAGGCCACGTGGGGAGGGGAGAAGCAGGCTCCCACGTTTAAGCCGTGACGGAAGTCTGTATGTAACGCGGCTTCAGTATCTGTATGTAACAAGGTAAAGAATGGACCTCATTATCTGCTGGGGAAGAGGGAGGGAGGAGGATCCATACAATGACCCTGTGTTGTGATTGGTGTATGAGGCCACGTGCGGAGGGGAGAGGCAGGGTCCCACGTTCAAGCCTTGAGATGGGTTTGCATGGAAAAGGGAGGTAGAGAATGGGCTTCAGTACCTACAGAGAAAGAGAGAGGAGTATCCTTACAATGACCATGTGTCTTGGTTGGTGTATGTATGAGGGCCATGTGGGGAGGATAAGCGCTCCCACGTTCAAGCCTTAAAAAAGGCATGTATGTGAAGGGATGTACAAGATATGTTACAATTGCTAAAATCAACAATGTTCAGCTCCTTTATTTAACGTGCAACAAGATCATTCAGAAATTTACATTTTATTTACTGTTAGGTATGTGGTAAAGGTGCCAGGAACACTCTTGAGACAGGAGAAATGGTGTAGTTCCGGTACTCGGCAGCAAGAGGCTGTTCGAGAAGTGGAGGGGTAGATGCACGCACAATCCAAGAGATACTGTACGCACATGGTGAAGGTTGTACCTGCGCCTCCGTCCTTCAACCACGCACATGGTGAAGGTCACACCTACGCTTGAATCCAACGGAGAACCAGGTCGCTTTACAGGTTGAAATCACCGAGCCTCGAGGTCAGGTCGAATTGACTCAGAAACCTGCGGTTCGATCTTCATTGTTATAAGGCACCGCGCCGCATCAACCTCGCTCCCTGGACGTCATCCAACCAATCCCAACGCAGGAATGCCAAAGCACTTCAGTGGATATGACGCATATAAATTCACCCCTCAATCGGAATTTGATCATAGTGAATTATAAACAACGCAATCGAGGCAACTGAGTTGAAACCAGTAAATTGTTTGCGCCCAATCGTCCTCACTATAGTAGTAGCTCGTCAGAATGGCTCGATCTGCGCTTCTAGTGCTCTCCCTTGCGCTGCTCGTCGTCTTCGCGCGCGCCGGAAGCCCCATCACGAGCTCCTCCGCGAATGAGAAACCCGATCCGAGCGGAAAGAAGGACGACGGGCTCATGACAGACATTCCGCAAGACATCGCGAAACAGGCTGCGACGGGTAACGCGGCAGGTGTAACATACGTCGATACCGCGCAGGATTCGTTTTTCATGGCTGACGTGAAAAAGGCCGGGTGGAACGCGCAGAAATGCCCCCCCGGTCTGAACAAGGAGCTTGCAGGCGCGTGCACTCCGAAAAATTGCTCCAAGGGCGGAATTGCGGCCAAGTGGAAAACCGCGTATCTGCAGAAGAACAAGCTCGGTTACGAATTGTACGTACCGGGTAACCCGCTGACGCTGCTCAAGGCGAACCCCGCGTCGTGCTGCAACACCTGCGCCGCGACCCCGCTCTGCACGTATTGGCAGTACATTCCCGATATTACCATCGACGGGAAGAAGGGCAAAGGCGCGTGCTATTTGATTCACGACCAGATTGATTTCACGTGCGGTGAGATGACCGCGCAGTACAGTACCGAGACGAAGCCCGTGCATCTCCAGGTGCGCATCGGCGGCGAGTGTAACCCTAGCCCGAAAATTCTTAACGACCCGCATCTGGTCGGCGCGCAAGGCACGCATTTCGACTTCAACGGCCGGCCCGACAAGGCGTTCTGCCTGCTCACCGACAGGAACCTTCACATGAACATGCTCCTGAGGGGTTATTATGACGAGAACACCGATAATGCGGCACTTGTTGTTGACGGGAAGGCCGTGCACACGTGGATTAAGGAGCTGGGTATTGTGTGGACGGCTGGAGGCGTGGACCGTAAGTTCCGGATCGCGGCGCGCGGCGGCAAGCAGCAGGAGCGCGGCGACGGGTTCGTGAAGAGCATCGAGATTGACGGCGAGGAGATTCCGCGCATGCAGGTTGGCGATAGGGTTACCAGCGACGGTGGACTGACGATCGAATTCCGCGGGTTGGAGAAGGAGGGGCCGTTCGATGTGGATTATTACATGCTGTCCATCGCAGGGTTAATTACCCTCGACCTGCGCCTGCGCGTCGCGCATCCCAAGCTCCAGACCCCCACGGATGCCGAGGCGCACATCAACGTCGGGATTGCCGAGCTCGAGCATACGGAGGAGATTCACGGTGTGCTCGGGCAAACATACCGCGCAGACCACGCTGCCCGCGCCGCGGATTTCCAGCGCCTCGTCGCGAACCTGCACCGTCCGATCTCCGCCGATGGCGCGGAGGGGAAGGGCTTTTTGGATGGGACACCCCGGTCCTACGAGGCGAGCGATGTGCTTGCTGTGGACTGCGCTTATACCGCGTATGGCCGCGCCAGGAAGGTGATGCCCGTGCAGGAATTCCCGTAAAGAACTGACTCGGAGGACTGACAGTGGGTTGTATTGTATGGTGGGCTGAAAGCAAATTCATTGCTTATGCCATTTAAGCTGCATGCTCCTCATGTTCGAAACCTTTTATTAACTCATTCTTTTCTGGTACAAAGATTATGTGACCTGCTCTGTATCTTGGGTTAAGCGTGTGCCACAAAATAGATATATATCTTGCCTAGCTTTACCGGTGATTTGGTTAACAGTAAAACAACTTGCATCTGGAGCTTTACTCGGTGGGAGAATGAGGGGAAGCTGCCAGCTGGTGTTCTCAACGCGAATCTCCAGAGGAAGGATTCATTTCATCGCACAGGACCACAATCCCTGGGAGGCCATACCTGGGAAGGGGGGATGAAGACATAAAGGGCAGCCAGTTCAATTGGGGGATACAGGAAGAAGCAAAATGAACCCATCCCCCCCTCCCCCTTCTTCCCCTCTCCCACCCACCCCGCCCAAAAAAAGCGGATAACTATGGTCCTGCTATTTAACATCAATGTACCTACCCACTGCCCTACCTTGCTCTCCACTCACTCACTGAGTCACTCTGTAGAACAAACAACACCTCTTCCTACCTTTCTGCAATTAATTCTCCCCCATACGACATTCTGTCAAAGAGCCTCCCCTTAATGCAAGGGCGGCACGTGCTCTGTCCTTTACCCTTTTATGCCCTCCCTCTATCCTCTACTCCCTCTCACTCACTCTGTAGAGGACCTGCGCTTGACCAGGGCAAGCAGCACGGGGTTGGTCGTAGCCCTTAGGGCAAGTGGGCTTTGAAGTGAGAGGCTGTGAACCCTTACTCCCCCTCACTCACTCTGTAGAAGACCTGCCCTTGGCTAACACAAGGGGCATGTGACCGGTCGTAGCCCATAGGCCAAGTGGACTCTGAAGTCAGAGGCTGTGATCCCTTACTCCTCCCCCCCCCCCTCACTCACTCTGTAGAAGACCCGCGCTTGGCTAACACAAGGGGCACGAGGCCGTAGTGGCGAGCGAGAGTAGGTGGAGTTGAAAAGATTGCCTTCCCACAGCCACACGCGCTCTCCATTCTATGCTCTCTCTCTATCCTCTACTCCCCCTCACTCACTCTGTAGAAGACCCGCGCTTGACTAATGCAAGGGGCACGGGGCCGTAGTGGCGAGCGTCAGTGGAATTAAAAATATTGTCTCCTTGCAGCCACGCGTGCTCTGTCTTGTAGCTTTCAACCCTCTCCCTCTATCCTCTACTCTCCCTCACTCACTCACGAGGCCGTAGTGGCGAGAGTCAGTGGAATTGAAGAGATTGTCTCCTTGCAGCCACGCGTGTTCTGTCTTGTAGCTTTTAACCCTCTCCCTTTATCCTCCCTTCCCCCTCAATCGCTCTGTAAAAGGCTCTTCCCTTGACTAATGCAAGGGGCACAGGGCCGTAGTGACGACAAGAGTCAGTGAAGTTGAAGAGATTGTCTCCTTGCAGCAACACGTGGCCTCCCTTCTATGCTATCCCTCTATGCTCTTCTCGCCCTCACTCTCTCTCACTCCCGCTCACTCACTCTGTAGAAGACTAGTTCTGGGGCGCCTCAAAAATAGACTCACTCCCCCTCGCTCACTCTGTAGAAGACTCTTCCCTTGACAAGGGCAAGGGGCACCGGGCCACACTGCCGAGAGTCTTTGGAGTTGGAAGAAATAGTGGCGTTGCAGCTAACTACATGTGCTCTCCATTCTATGCTCTCCCTATATCCTCTGCTCCCTCTCACTCACTCTGTAGAACACTCGTCCCTTGACCAGAGCAAGCGGCACGGGGCCGTAGTGGCGAGAGTCAGTGGAGTTGAAGAGATTGTCTCCTTGCAACCACACATGCCCTCGTGGGACCTGATGGGGTGGAGGGGAGTGCAGTGCGGTGGAGGGAAGTTGGTGCGGTAGCGGGAACAACAGGAGAGAGCTGGTGCTGGCAGAACAGGGGAAGGGCGGTGGTTGGTGCTGCGAACGTGCAGGGAAGGTGCAGGGAAGGTGCAAGGAAAGTGCATCGAAGGTGCAGGGAACATGCCTCAATGTGCATGCACTTCATGGCAACAGGAGTCAAAGAAACCCATGTCATACTCGCTCACCACTGTGTACAACTTCATAAACGCCTCAGAAACCGCATGCCATACTTACTCACCACGAGGAGGCATGGCATGCACTTCATGGCAACAGGAGTCAAAGAAACCCATGTCATACTCGCTCACCACCGTATACATCTTCCGAAACGCCTCAGAAACCGCATGCCATACTTACTCACCACGAGGAGGCATGGCATGCACTTCATGGCAACAGGAGTCAAAGAATCCCATGTCATACTCGCTCACCACCGTATACATCTTCAGAAACGCCTCAGAAACCGCATGCCATACTTACTCACCACGAGGAGGCATGGCATGCACTTCATGGCAACAGGAGTCAAAGAAACCCATGTCATACTCGCTCACCACCGTATACATCTTCCGAAACGCCTCAGAAACCGCATGCCATACTTACTCACCACGAGGAGGCATGGCATGCACTTCATGGCAACAGGAGTCAAAGAATCCCATGTCATACTCGCTCACCACCGTATACATCTTCAGAAACGCCTCAGAAACCGCATGCCATACTTACTCACCACGAGGAGGCATGGCATGCACTTCATGGCAACAGGAGTCAAAGAATCCCATGTCATACTCGCTCACCACCGTATACATCTTCAGAAACGCCTCAGAAACCGCATGCCATACTTACTCACCACGAGGAGGCATGGCATGCACTTCATGGCAACAGGAGTCAAAGAAACCCATGTCATACTCGCTCACCACCGTATACATCTTCAGAAAAGCCTCAGAAACCGCATGCCATACTTACTCACCACGAGGAGGCATGGCATGCACTTCATGGCAACAGGAGTCAAAGAATCCCATGTCATACTCGCTCACCACCGTATACATCTTCATAAACGCCTCAGAAACCGCATGCCATACTTACTCACCACGAGGAGGCATGGCATGCACTTCATGGCAACAGGAGTCAAGGAATCCCATGTCATACTCGCTCACCACTGTATACAACTTTAGAAACGCCTCAGAAACCGCATGCCATACTTACTCACCACGAGGAGGCATGGCATGCACTTCATGGCAACAGGAGTCAAAGAAACCCATGTCATACTCGCTCACCACTGCATACATCTCTTAAAACGCCTCAGATATCGTATTTTGAGTCGACTCAAAAATATTTTTTGAGGCACCTCGTGCCCCTCCATCGCCACCACGCACTTGCACACCATCATGCGCGGGTTGAAATTGGGACACTTGGCCCCTACAGGTCTGAATCACCACGAGCTCTATAGCAGCTATACTCACCACTGTGTGTGCATGCCTCCTCTGCTTCCTCTACTTCCACCCATGCCTGCCTCCTCTACTGACACCCATGCCTGCCTCCTCTACTTACACCCATGCCTGCCTCCTCTACTTACACCCATGCCTGCCTCCTCTACTTCCACCCATAAACCCCCTGGTCAGTGGAGGCATGGCATGCACCTCATGCCCCTCCATCGCTACGATCTGCTTGCACACCATCATGCACGGGTTACAGGGTGACTTGCGACTACAGGTGAGAAATCACATCATAATCACTCCTATAGCAGCCATACTCACCACTGTGTGTGTTTCCGCATGCCTGCCTCCTCCACTTCCACCCATGAACCCTCTGGCCGCAGGAGGAGGCATGGCATGCACCTCATGCCCCTCCATCGCTACGATCCGTTTGCACACCATCATGCGCGGGTTGGATGGGGGGAGAGTAGGCGACTACAGGCGCCACTACAGCACTCACGAACCACTACAGCAGCGACACTCACCACTGCATGTGTTTCTGCGTGCTTGCCGCGTCCCCCAATCACCATCCCTCTGGGTGGAGGAGGCATGGCATGCACCTCACTCCCCTCCATTGCCACCACGCGCTTGCACACCATCATGCGCGGGTTGGATGGGAACTTGGCGACGAGGAGGCGTATTCAGTATTACAGCAGCTACACTTAAACACTCACCACTGTATGAGTTTCCGCATGCTTGCCTCGTCCACCCATGAATCCCCTGGTCGCAGGAGGCATGGCATGCACCTCACTCCCCTCCATCGCCACCACGCGCTTGCACACCATCATGCGCGGGTTGGAAGGGGACTTGGCAACTACAGGTGTAAAATCACCACGCACTCACCACTACAGCAGCTATACTCACCACTGTGCGTGTTTCTGCGTGCTTGCCTCGTCCACCCATGAATCCCCTGGTTGCAGGAGGCATGGCATGCACCTCACTCCCCTCCATCGCCACCACTCGTTTGCACACCATCATGCACGGGTTGGATGGGAACTTGGCGACGAGGAGGCATATTCAGCAATCAGCATTACAGCAGCTACACTCAAACACTCACCACTGTATGTGTTTCTGCGTGCTTGCCTCGTCCACCCATGAATCCCCTGGTTGGTGGCGGCATGGCATGCACCTCATGCCCCTCCATCGCCACCACCCGCTTGCACACCATCATGCGCGGGTTGGAAGGGGACTTGGCGACGACAATGTCGCCAGGCTTTAAGGCGTGCAGCGCGGGCGTGATGTGCTCTAGTAGGACCACGTCCCCTGCTGCGTTCAATGTGGGAAGCATGCTGGGACCCATGCACTGGGGTGGAGGGGAGAAGGGGAGAGATGGTGGTTACATGAGTAAAGAGGAGGAGAGGGAAGGAGGCTTTAAGCCTTGCAGGGCGGGCGTGATGTGCTCCAGTAGAACCACGTCGCCTGCTGCATTGAGCGTGGGGAGCATGCTGGGACCCATGCACTGGAAAAGGGGAGATGATGATGAAAGGAAAGAAGATGAGGCTTTAAGGCGTGCAGGGCGGGCGTGATGTGCTCTAGTAAGACCACGCCTCCTGCTGCGTTGAGCGTGGGGAGCATGCTGGGACCCATGCACTGGAACAGAAAGGGGATCGAAGCGGAAGGGGGGGAGGGTGGGTGGGGTGGGCGAGGAGGGGGGGTGTTATATGGGTAAACAAGGGCGGGTGTGATGTGCTGTAGTAAAACCACGTCCCCTGCTTCGTTTAATGTGGGGGGGGGGCATGCAGGGACCCATGCACTGGGGGGGAAAGGGGTTCTGGAATGAGGAGTTGAATATGGTTGAAGAAGAGGAGACAAAAGGAGGCTTCAATGAACCAGGGTGACATCATTACTTACCCGAGAGACGTCATCATGTACCATGACGTAGTTACAGTACACATGGTAGCGGCATGCAATATGGGACTATGGTATACCATGGTGACATCATCACGAGCCATAGTGACGTCATCACGTACCATGGTAACATCCATGACGTAGTTCGTGAACACATGGTAGCAGCACGCGAATTGGGTCATCATAGATCATACTGAGATTATCAGAAACAGAGCGACATCATAACGTATCACAGTGACGTCATCACGTACCATGGTGACATCCATGACGTAGTTCGTGAACACATGGTAGCAGCACGCGAATTGGGTCATCAAAGCCGCTCTGTCCCACGCCTCTCTCAGTAGCGCGCGCCACGACATCAGACCAATGTGGATTCTGGTGGATAAGAACTGCCGACGTGGACGCTGACGTGGACTACCGTGCCGCGATCATGGATGTAGACGACTGCTACGCCATCGGCGCCTGACAATCTATTTTTTTTCACTTACTCCCTTTTGAATAATCAAATAAGGAGACTTGTGAGATAACGCAAGCTTATTAGCCGTTAACGTACCGGGTGGGTTGGTTTCGCCAATCGTTTTGAAATTTCTCAAAAAACGACCTACGCGAACCTCTGAGTAATCGGAACGTGAGAACTTAGCGAAACGAGGCGATTTGGCGGAGAGGAAGTGGCGATGGAATTGAGAAGCGTTGGCGAAATTAAACGAGTTGGCGGAATGAGAAGAAGCGGTATGGATTGAGGGATTTCGGATGAGTCATGTGGAAAGGATTGTGCCGTTCAAGAACGCATAGGATCCGCCTCGACCGCGTCTGCGCTTCGCAAAGCCCGGAGCTATGGCGCCTTGCGAAGTGTCCTGCGGCAAAATACGCGGCGGAGTTCACGGAAACAGCAATGTGTGAACTAAAAATGAAGTTCAGGTGTCTCATACTTTCCAGCTTTTGAGGTGGTTTGAGTGAAATTGGACTTGTTCTGAGGTTGAGCAGATTAGTTGGGGACGTGTTCTACATTTCCCGAAAAATAGTTCTGTCTTTCGGCCTACAGTACCTGGAATCGAGTGGTCAACAAACAGAAACCAAAAAGACCAGTCTCAAACAGAAATATCCGATTATATACACACGGGTGACGTCATCGCATGCCGCCCCGCCCGCCCTGGCAAATTCGAAATTCGGGCCAAAACGAAAAACCCGCGGAATCCCTCCGGGCCCCCGAAATTCCCCGGCTGACCAGGCAAAAAAAACCCGCCGAAACCCGCGGGTTCAATGTCGTATTCTTATGCCAATATATATGTCGGCCGTACTGTTGCAATTTCGGGGACATTTGTCGAACAGTGCTCGACGGACATCGGCCAATCGCCGTCGAGCACCGTGCACCCCCGACGACACTGGTTACACCCCGTGGCAAGTCGCCAGGGAATCGCCTACACGGTGGCGCCGACGGTCGACGGTCGCGAAACGTGTTTCGCAACCGGCCGACGGTCGAGCAAACTGTCGCTGTCGGATGGGCGACGGGTCACGTCAGTCGCAGTCAAGCGGTCACGTCAACTGCTGACTGCTGTCTCAGTCTCCACGGGGAGCAACATCAGCCCAATGTCGCTGTATAGACCTGAATTCATAGTACAAGCACCACTGTTTCCTCAGCACGCCAGGATTTAGGGAGAATTGGTAGCTTTCGGTGGGCACTGATGGAGACCGATCCGTCGACGACAGCGCCTTCCCGGGAGGCGGACGTAGGACGTATACATGTCGAATTGGAGTCCACATCGACACGACCCCCTTCGTCGTCTAGAGACAGGCCCCCTTCGACGACGCGTGCCATACCGGAGGTGGCAGCGCCCACCTCGACGTCGCGAGCCATACCGGTAGTAATACAGCCGGTCGTTACGGACCCACGTTCGACGGGTATTCCGGTCACTGTTGAAGTGGGTGGTGCACAGACCGAATTCCCTTCGACAGGTCAATCCATACCTGTTGTCGTAGAACCCATCTCGACAACAAATGCCCCCTTTACACACGAGGCTCCAGCTCACCGTGCACCATCGTCGACAGCCCACCGCTCGACGGAACCTTCGGCTGGTGCACCGACCTCGACAGTTGGGCGACGTAGGAGAGCGACGGCTGTTCCGCCTGAGGTTCGCCAACCACACCCAGCCGGTACATCCGCTTCTCGAGCCGACCCCGCCGCTCGTAGGCGCACTTCGACGAGACCAAGCAGAGAGGACTTGGCCAGGAACGTCCCTGAAGCGACGGACGATGACGATGTTCGGACGGGAGAACAGCAGGAGGCGGACGATGTCGAACCGCCGGACCCTCTGCGGCCTGCTGCGGCAAATATATCAGAGGAGGATGCCGCGCACATTCTCGGCGACCAACCGGGCGCAGACAATCCGTACTTGGCGACCGGAACACTTAAAAGCAGGATTCTCCGGTGTGAGGTTCCGCTGCTGGGAGTTGACCAGGATTCCACACGGCCGAACTATGTCTCTGGAAGCATGCACTACAAAGCTTGGGCCTGTAAAATTCTGGCACCCGAGAGAAGCAACGGAGTGCCTAAAGAGGAGCAGGTGATCTACGAGGACGAGATCGGTAGGGAGATCGGCGACGATATGGGGCCGAGATGGAGGGAGGCGCTGCGTAACGAGGAGCACCTGCATGGGCCGAAAATAACGAAATGGCGCTTGCGCGCGTACGTCGAATACATGTCGACTGAAACCGACCAACAGGCGGCATCGTTGGACACAGGCCGGTCCAGAGTCGCTGGAAGGAAGGCAAAAAAAAGCACCCCTCCGATGATGCTGGCGCGCCTCACTGCGCTGACGTGCTTCTGCAGAGTAGAGGCCATACTCTTCGACGAGCCACTAACGAAGCCTTTGGACGACATGACCGAGGCCCGGCAGCTTCTTGCGGTCAAGCTGCGGCAGCTGCACGACTTTCAGTTCGAGTAAGTAGGCTCCCATGCACCGGACTCTAAAACTCACCGCTCAAATTCTCACCCAAGTACTCGCTGTATCTGCCCACCCAATGCAGGCAGTGCGTCGATCCACACCGGGGCTCGCTCGACGATGTTTACACGGAGGAGCAGTTCCGCATTCTCGTTTCAGACATCCTGACATCCTGCCGTACTGGGCCAAGGAGTACTTTCGGGAGTCGATGAGTTACCCCAGTCAGTCGCTGTGGAGGGCCTTGGCCGTGAGGGTGATGATCCTGATGGCGCATCACATGCTGGGCAGGGGGATAAGCATCCGCGAGATCCGCTACTGCAATATGTTCACTCACGTCCTTCCGCCCATCACGAACAGCAAGGGGGAATCGTCGATCCACGTTCTCGTGGTCGCCTATCGCAACTCGAAGACCATCAAAGACAACAAGCTCGGCCACCTGTACCTGACTCGACACATGGACTTCCGGCAGTGCGGCTTCGGAGCAGTGTTCATGTGGATACATTTCATTTTCGACCTTGTGCCGCTCCACTACAACAACGATAAGATCGTGCCCCCCTTGGATTTCAGCAACCCGGAAAACTGGTCAAAAAAGCACCTGTTCTTCGCCCTCTTCGACAGGGATAAGACCGAGTTGCCGTACGCGACTCATGCCAAATGGGTTACCTGGGCGATGAAAAGCGCGGAGTGGATCCTGTCGAAAGTCACACATATTTTTCGACGGTCTGCGGCACAGATCCTCGCCGACAAAAACTGTGAACTCGACAACATCGCGCAGCTGGGTCAATGGGACATGAACGAGATGCGCAGGTCATACGTCACAGGCATCCCGCGAGGGGCCATCCAGCTGCAAGCGGGTTTCACGACGGAACCCGGTGACTATTACCTTGGAAGATCGAAGACCGAAATACCCGCGAAGGTCCTGAAGGCTATCGAGGAGCACATATTTCCAAAGGCGGAGCAGTGGCTCGACGAGGTATGGATGCGTCGAGTGCTTTGCGTGATCATCGAATGCAAGTTTTTGCATTCGATCTATCTCTCAATGTCACCACGTTTGTTCTTGTTCAGGCGATGGAATGGAACAACGAGCAGGACAAGGAGCATATGTTCTTCGCAGCGAAAAGTTTCTTGAAGGCCCTGCAAGTCGCCCGAATGCCCATCGCCGAGGATCTTGCGATGTACTACGTCCATTGTGACGACCACCCCTTCGACGGAGTGACTGTTTGCGACTGCGAGCGTCACCCTTATGTACAGATGTCCGGTTTGTGCAAGGACATGGATTTCCAAAAATGGGCGCTTGACGTGTACCTGCTCGACAAGTACGGCATCGAGATGCGGACCAACCCCACACTGTCGAGAGCCTCTGTAAGATGGCCCTTATAAATTTTAATCCGAACAGATTGCATCAGCCCACTTACCTACCGCTCGTGATCTTATGCGCAGGACGCATCCTTTCAACTCAACACCAAGCACCTCATCACGCAACTTCGGGCAGAGGTAAACTTACACAAGGAGGAGGGTGGGAAAAAAGAAATCAAGATCAAGGGCCTCGAGCAGAAGGTCGAGTCATTGGAGCGGGAGAAGGCCGCGATGCAAGCGGAGTTGGAGGCGAAGGCAGAAGCACTCGCTCTACTGCAGAAAGCGTTCGACGCACTGAAGATTACCGCCGCGACAACCGCAGCTGCGAATGTAGGGGGGAGCGAGAGTGTGCCGCAGACGGCGACCGAAGAAACCACCCCGCCACCACAGCAGCCCCCTCAATCAACACCCACTCAACAGAGCAAGGGCAGCCAGCTCGACCAAACATTCTTCGACGCAGTGGTGTGGCCGTGGTGCACTTGCGAGACCGTGCGGCAGGCGTGGTCGTACTGGGACGGGCCCAGCCCGCTGAACGACGGACACAGTCTTCGACACGCTTACAGGAGGGGTTTCGCCGTCAAGTACAGCAAGTTCACTCCGACTCCTCCCACCGTTCCACCCGGTGCGGTGGACCAGCCAGCAGAAAAGCCACCGACCCCAAAAGCTGTCGAGTCGAGATTGCGGAAGATGGAGGTTGTCATGAGGGCCATCGAGATGTTCAGGGTCGATGATAGCAGGGCGGCTACGTCGACGATCATTGATAAGCTTGACTCAATAGTCAAGAACCACTCGATCAACATGCTGGCTGAAGGGCTCGTTCTCAAAGAGGATTCGGGGAAGCAGCTAACGAAGAAGCGCAAAATCGAGACAGCAGATGACAACCGGAAGGA